CACCACTGGACGCTTAGAGTTCTACCGGAGTACTGCCCTTCTACTACGGTCTTTCGAACCCCTGTCTCATGACGACTATGAACCTTCTGACCTCCATCACCAAACAACGGTCTCTTAGACACCGGTCTCCTTTCAACTACAGTCTTTCGAACCCCTGTCTCATACCGACTATGATCCTTCTGACCTCCATCACCAGAAAACGGTCTTTCTAAACCTCAGTCTCCTACCAACTATGGTCTTTCGGACCCCTGTCTCATACCGACTATGGTCTTTCCGACCTCTAACACTAAACAACGGTCTTTTTGACCCAGGTCTCTTACCAACTATGGTCTTTCAGACCCCTGTCTCATATCGACTGTGATCCTTCCGACCTCCATAACCAAACAACGGTTTTTATGACCCCGGTCTCCTACCAACTACGATCTTTCGGACCCCTGTCTCATGCTGACTATGGTCCTTTCAACCTCCATCACTAGACAACAGTCTTTCTGGCCCCGGACTCTTGCCAACTACGGTCTTTCAAACCCCTATCTCGTGTCGACTATGACCCTTCCGACCAAACAAAGATGTTTATGTTGATTATTGTAACTCCCACCATGTAATGCGATCTATATGACATACATCAAGCCAATGCCTTCTCCCTAGGAAGAGCCTCATTTGTAATCGATTGTAAATACTAGTGGATTCATTCAGACTGGGCTAGGCCCCGTGGTTTTTCTCCCTTTTCAGGGGTTTTCACGTAAAAACTCTAGTGTCTCTTATAAACGCTACACCCTCTTTCTTATCTGATTGTGTGCTGAATCTTTGTACAATATTAAGACGTTAAACTATATATTTCTCTACCACCGTGAATATTTGAGGACGCAACAAAAATCAAGTTGATAAATCTAAGATTCTAACTGACGAATGCACTAAATCCTAAATTTTAAAATCCGCATGTCGGGATAAATTAGGCCTAATTAATGCAGCTTAAACTAGGTTGCCAAACCGTCCACGCTCTCCAAAGAAACTTGCACTGTAATGGATATTTTGTCCGTAAGCCCACTTCTATGAATGATTTTAAATGAATTTGTTGTCCTTAAGAAAACTTTCATGAATTTTAGTAATTAGGAACGGTCAGAAAATTAAAAAGGTTATATATTAATTAAGATCTATGCCTCTATGTGGTACTTTAGTTTCAAATAGAACATCTTATACATTTACATATATGTATAGTACTCATTAATAGTAAGTATAGTACGTTATCATATCATGCATGCAAATACTGCCTATCATAAGTTAAACATGCACACATTTATGATTTTTTTATTTATTTAAAAATATAGATTTTGAATGAATCATATAGAGATAAAAGTGTGTTGGTGATTATACAAGAGAAAGTAAAAATGTATGTAAACTTCAAATTATTTGTGTAAGGCTGATCAAATTAATAATAGGATTTAAGTTGGCCTTAATATTTGGGGTGATCAACGAGGATGGACTCGAATCATATACCAAAAACTTGTGAACAACATTAAATAAGGCATCAAATGAGGAGACTTAATGAAATTAGTAGCTTGGCAACATGTCCCCATTAGACGACCTCAACTCAGCTCGTCATCTCTTCTGTTAAGGAGGACACTACTTGGATAACTCAATATTTCATTGAAAGAAGTCGACACAAATTGCATGCTCATTCGTAATAAAATTTGTGATCAATGTGTTTTCTTTTTATAATGCGTGCCTGCAACTATAAAAACATAAGGAAAGCGGGAAGGTAGAATGAGGGATTGAGAGATAGTAAAAAACATGTCCCATTATTTCACACATTCTTTATATGCAATATCACCCAAAGTTTTTTTTTTTTTTTCAAGATTACTCTTATAATATGTTATAATTTCCTAAAAAAATTTAAGGGACATGTTAGAAAAATTATCTTTTGATAAATTCTACTAACATCATCTTAAATTAGTCCAACAAACGTCGCATATACATTATTCCTTATGTAAGGCTTACTCAAACAAATACTTGGTGAAGTCATATTTAATATCCTCTTTGTTGTGGTGAGCATGCAAATGATTTGAACAAAAAAAAAAATAATAATAATAATAAGATGCCTATTTCTGTTATGTCTAACAGTGAATTGAAGCCTCATGTGGCCAAGTATGTGAATAATTATATTTTGGTGCAAACTGATTGGTTAGTTTTGGATGACTCATTCTCTTCCACTGATGAAGATTTGATGAGGTTGTGCCTGTTTATTTTGCTAAACATAATCGTCCTAATGGTGGTAATAGGCGTAATAGTAAAAGAAAAAAGAAATAGGCTCTGACTTTGTCCTTTTTTTACATCGGCGGTGTTTTTGATGGCATTGTGGACAATGATGAGGGAGCCCCAAGAAATAGGCTCGGCTGGTTGGCAATCGGGGTGTTTTGGCCTTTTTCTTGGATTTCTTGGTGGATTTGACTTTGTAGGGTTCTCACCTATGGATGGTCCGTGGGCCGTGGCTGATGGAGGGGCTGGTGCAGGGGGCTTCCATTCACGAGTCTGATTAAATTTTATTTTGTTCTGCTTATTGTTGTTTCATATCTTGATGTACGTTTTGAATTTTTTGCTGTATTGTTGTAGTGGTTGTTGGTCTGTGGGTACTATAATTTTTACTCCTTTGAATAAATGGTTGTTTAAAAAAAAAAATTCTCCATGTGTAAGTCTTCCTTTAATGAATTTACAATTTCATTTTAACTTAATATTATTTAAGGTTTGTACTAGTAAGATTTTCTTAAAATGAATTATAATGACCATCATTACTCCATTGATTTATTATTCTTAAAAGGAATTAAAAAAAAATAAAATTATGAAATCTAGTTCTTGAGAATTTTTTTTTGTTGAGATTAGAAGATATCAATATTTAATGATTTTAAATGTTATTTTCTATATGTCTGATTATGTTGCCTATTATAAGTTTAGATAATTTATATGATTGCATTTTCTCATATTTTAAAATTTTCTAAATTGAATAAGGCCTCAAAATATAAAAAAATGTGTTTGTTAATCAATGAATTTCTTTGTTTTATTTGCATTTGTGAATGAATTGTAACTGTATTCTTCTGTAGGGTGATTTCTATTTATGACGTTCAATAGTGAGGATCATAATAAGGCATACGCAAGATAAAAGTGAGATTCTTAATGATGTTTTGAAGTCTGTTGATGATATAGATTTGACAACTAATGTTGTTAATGTTCCAACAAATAAGAAATAATATATGATTGTATTTGCGTTGAGACCTATGAAGAAACAATGTATAAATAAGAAAGACATGATAAAATAAAGTTTTATTCCCTATATTTCATTTTCTTAATGGCATTAAAATCTAAAGGATTCTAATGTCTTTCCTCAAAATAGTATTTTAGTGATTTTTCTTGTCTTCAATTTAATCATTTTACTTATGCCCTTGAAGAACCCATTGAGTTAGAGGGTGATAATGATGATACAAATGAATATGAATATTTAGATCAAGATATTTCCTATGAATTTTCTTATAATGTTGTTGTGGACATTGTCATGGAGAGCATCTAGAGAAGCATGTTATATAATTGAACAAATTCTTACTATTTAGAAAGACAATTGATGTTATCATTTTGAATAAATGAAATGAGATTATGTTTTATGATATATTTTTACTAATGAATATTATATATTTTGTCATCTCTCCAATCTTTCATCAAATTTCACCTGTCATAAATATTGATAACTATGTAGTTTGGATGTAATGGATGAGGAATTGGGTATTTAAAGTGATAAGATACAAGCTTTAAATAGAAAATTGAGGTCCAAGTGTTCTATTTTTACGACGTCAAGAAGGAATTACATGAAGTCAACACTTAGTTGAATGAGTTGAAGCATTGCTTGGATAACCATTAACACACATTAAGACACATTGAAGAAAGCTTTGATGGAAGATTTATAGTTGTATGATTTTTTTAGTAGAGTGAAGATTAACTACCTTGAGAAGAAATTAGAAAATAACTTATAAAATAGATTCCTATAAGACAAATGAAAAAGGAGACGTAGCATTTGCAACTATTATCTTATCTAATAAACTAGCTAGCTTTATTGCGGAGTTGATAGAGCTGACACCTTATATCAAATTTGTTTGTATCATTTTTATTATGTTAGTAATATCATCACAATTGTATCTTTCATATAATATTTTGAGGTGGCCTATGATTTCTACACACCAAGATTTATTTTTTATCTCATTTGGTTCTTCAGGTTAGAAGCATTTCAAGCTAATCCAAGAGTTTATTTTCTTAATAAGTCACCCTCTTAGATAAAATTTGAGTTTTTATAATTCTGAATTTGACTCTGAAAAGTTTTAATTTAAATATGCATTGAATTTTGTATCCGATTTAATCAATCTTTGATGACGAATTAACTATTAGTCGTAGTAAATCAAATTGGACGATAAACTTCCCTATAAATAGGTGTTGGTTTTAAATAAAACCGGCTATAATTATATTTCTATATACGCTGCATTAATTTCCCGTATCCAGCTTCGATTTGCATGCGCCCGCCCATATTTAGCACTCTTTCCATTTTAAACCTGTTAATCTACCTGTATGTTATGACACGTGTAAGGTGCACGAGCGAACCCATCACCATCCCGACGTGGCGCCCCGTCCAGTGCGAACCCTCTCACAAAAAAAAAGAAGCAAAACCTCAAAATTACACCGAACACCATCACGAACGACCACTTGGTCCATTCCCCGTCGTCCATTCCGCATCATCAAAAAATCAAACCGAAAGGACCTTCCACCCTCTACTGCTAAGCTTCCACGTGGCAAACCGAGGTCATCTGACGGTCACGATGAAACAGGTGTTGATGGGATTTGATTCGCACGTGCAAGAGTAGAGATCGAAATATTTAAATTTGTAGAGCTTAAACGAAAACTTCACACCAGATTTCTGTATTAACAGATTATTTTAGAATTCCGACAACAGTATTAGTTAGGGATAAATCGCAATTAGCTCCGTGCAATAACAAACCCTAGCGGCAAATCTATTGCCTGAATGAATCGTGGCCGCTGGCTCCTCGATTCGACGGTTGAGATCTTCCTGCAGCTCAGCTTATCAGGCTCCGACCGGGCTTGTGTGCTCGTTCACCCTCTGCTCCATCTCATGCGCTCTCTATTGCTCAGCTCTATCTCGTTCTCCGTTATTTCTACTTGTCGTCCAGCGGCCTCAAGCACGTAAATGGCGAAAGCAATCGACGATCATCGATTGTCTCGAGCTTAGAACTAAAAAGCTTGCGGCTTTAGTTTTACCTGATAGAACCAAATACGCCGCTAGCTATCTTTTTTTTTTTGCTTGAATGGCCGGCACCGAAGTTTTGGATTTAGGGTTTTGATGGGGATTTAATTGATGCCATGTATTTCAAACAAAAATTTCCAATCTTTGGGAATTTCGATAGTTGTTTGCATGCTCAGAGCTTCTCAAGCTGTTAGCTTTATATCATTTATAAGGTTGCTTTTTTGAAGTTATTCATCTTCTTATTTTCTTTTGTAACTGAGAGCACAGTGAATATGCTTTCTGAAATGGGGGTGAGGGCGATGATCGGTAGCGGTGGGGAGGGTTTTAGCGGCGAAGACCTTGGTAGGGAGCTGGGTCTTCTGCTGCGGGAGCAACGTAGGCAGGAGGCAAGCGATCGTGAGAGGGAGCTCAATATCTACCGGAGCGGCTCCGCACCGCCTACCGTAGAGGGCTCATTGACGGCCATGGGAGGGCTGTTTGGTGTTGACGCTGCTCGCGGTAGTGGGATCGCGGAGGAGGATCTCCTGTCTGATCCGGCCTATGTCTCATACTACTACTCAAATGTAAACCTGAACCCGCGGCTGCCGCCTCCTGTGCTATCGAAGGAGGACTGGAGGTCTGCAAGGAGGATCCAGGCTGGGAGCTCCGGACTGGGAGGGATTGGAGATAGGAGGAACCTGGCTAGGATGGAAGAAGGGTGGAACAGATCATTGTTCTCCTTGCAGCCAGGTTTTGGTGCGAAGGAGGATGGGGAGGAGCACAAGCCTGCACAAGGATCCAGTGAGTGGTTGGATAATGGAGGAGATGGGCTGATTGGCTTGCCAGGTCTGTCTCTGGGCCGGCAGAAGAGCTTTGCTGATCTTTTTCAGGTGATTTATTGCTGGAAGAATTCCTTGTGGCTTCACTTGCTTTCCCTAACATCATCCTACTGTAAATATATCATTCTTTTTTTTTTTTATGGATTATATCTGCTTATGTTGTAATTTCTTCTGCTAAATTCTAGTTAAATAACTGTTTTTTCTTTATAAGATGAGCTGACTGTGTTTGAGGCATGCAAAGTATATGTAAACATGCCATTGTGGTTCTACTTCCATTTGTTCGTTTCGGTTCATTGCTCTTACCTTGAGAGTCCTGAGTTGGGAATCAATTGAGCTGATTGGCATATTATTTGCTGCTTGAATTTGCTTCTAATTATATTTAGTCTTCAAACATTCATAACTGTTGAGTTGCTCCTTTAAAAAATAATACAGTTTGATGAAGGCAATTGTGAACAATATTTTCCATTGATCTGGTTCTGAATTTTTCCTTTTGCCTCAGTGCTTGCTACATCTACATTTGGAAGAAGCTTTGTTGCGTGCAACCTCATTCATGTTTAGGAAAAGAAAAGTGCTAGCCAAGGAATGCTGCATTTCCTGTTAGAGTTTTGCTGTGACTTTTTTCTAGCAATGCTTCATTTTGGGTCATCATGAATTTTAAATTTGTTATTTTACGACTTAATAGCACAAATTTTTTGATGATGACTTGGAAAAATTAGGAATTCATATAGTTATTTGGTTCTGGTCCTGGCAATGAATTGTACTGAAGAGATTATATTTAAAAGTACTTAGCAAGTTTACAAGAAGTGAGATTGGGTAGTTAGGCTTAATTGGGGGTTCTGTTGTTTGGTTTTACTGATTTTAGTTTTGGACATTGTGTTTTTAAGTTGAGTGCATTTGTCAATTGATATTTTTGTATTACTGAAAATTATTGAATTTGTGGTTTTTTGAATTGCAGTGTCCAATAACTTCATCTAGTTGTATTAGGAAGCCTAGACCTTAAATTGTTCAGCATTTATAGGATTCATGTAAAATCTTCTAGAGAGAAGTCATCTCATCAGATTTGTTTTATGGCAGGGTGCCTTGGCTTCTACATTGATTTTTTTCCTGCTTGCTCTTATGTCCTTTAGTTTGCCATACTTCCTCTTTCTTATTTATGCCTTCGAGTTACTACTAGTTTTTAAACTCTGTTTTAATGGTTTATTTCTGAATATTGATATATTTCAACCCTGCAACTCTAGTATAGTTTTCCCAAGAAGTACCAGCTTTATTTGTTTTAGCTGAACTTGTGCCTTAATTTGATGATATGTTCTTTAGGTTACTTATCTGAGTGCAAATTCTCACTAGTTATTGCTTTCCAGCACAATAGGTTATCATTGTTGAGAACAGCTCAATATGGTAAGACAAGTCAAGCTGTAATAGATGCAAGGCCATATGTTATTTTCTATAACTTTATAACTTGCGGGGTATTTAGAATGGATAAAAAATTAAGGCAATATAGAAAATCTATGCCCTAAAATCTTAATTGGGGTTACCATTCATCCCCACATTCATTTTCTCGTGCAAGAGGCAGTATTATTATCTCCTGCTCGAGGTGGTACAATGGGATATTTATGTGCAATTTACATGGTATGCCATTGCGTGATGCAAGTGCCAACTAATGTAGAGTTGAATGACCTCCTTGATAAAAAATTCTATGCTGACCTAGATGCCTAAATAATTATGGGGTTTAAGTTCACATGTATTCTTGCCCTGGGTATGAGGAAGCCCTAATTGCTCCATACAAAATTTGATCATAATAAATTTAATTGACCTCGGTAATAAATCTTCTGTTTTCATGTGTGAGAGTTTGGAAGTTTTTTGTTTATGGAATAAAAGTAATTGATTTTTGATCTATATTACTAGAAGATCAAGTTATACCTAGATATAAGTATCTTGGATCTATTGTACAAAATTGGGATATAAATGAGGATTAAATTCTGGAGATAAGGTTTGGTGGTTGAAATGAAGTACTCCAAGTGTATTATGCGGCAATAGAATATCATGTCGACTTAGTTATTGGTAAATTAATTAAAATTGTAATTATGCTGGTGATCTTGTATGAGCCGAAGTGCTAAGTAATAAAAATTTATTGATTGATAAATATACAGGTGAGAATGAGCATGATAGGATTAATTATGACAAAATTAGCAAGTATAATTAGATGTATGATTTTTTAGAGGGATAATTGGAGTAGTAGCATGCTAGCATCTATCGAAGATGATGTAGTTGGAAGTATACTGAAGTGTTCTGACGTATTCAATGAAGGGTAGATGATGCATCAATATGATTGATAGATAAAATTAATGTGAAAGGGGCAGGAAGAAAATTCGATTGACTAAAAGGTAATATGGATAAAATTTGTGTAAAAAGGTTGAGCGACTCATGAAACACTTAATAATAAGGACATTTTGATGATAAAGATTTATAAAGTCAACCTCAAATAGTTGAGTCAAAGCTAATGATGATGATGATGATTGATGTATCCTTTCCTTTAAGGTTGTTGTGATTGTGATTTTTGGTATTCAATATCTTGGCCAGTTTTTGATTCTATATGAATGCTCAAGAATTTGCTTAGCTCATACTATATTAATTTTATGTGTTGCATTTTCCATGCATTCAATATTGGTTTTTTTCTTTATCATTTTTTATATTAAATATTGCAGCTTTTCTTGCGGCCTTTTTTGATAATGCTGTGTTTTTGTCAGGATGATCAGACTCAAAGGGTATCTGTGTCAGGCCATCCATCTCGTCCTGCAAGTCGGAATGCATTTGATGATTGTGTGGAGCCGTTAAGGTCTGGTGAAGTTCATCTTCTTGATGGCCTTAGAACCGGCAACAGTGGTCAAAATGTCGTGGGTTCTCAAAACAATGCTGCATCAGCATCCCCTACTTTTGCCTCTGTCGTGGGGTCATCCCTTTCAAGAAGCAACACACCTGATCCTCAACTGGCAGCAAGGGCTCCTAGTCCTCGGCTTCCTCCTGTAGGTGTAAAGATAGTAAATAGTGATAAGAAAATCAGCAATAGCTCGAGCTCTTTAGATAGGATGACATCTCCTTTAGTTGATTCCGATGATCTCATATCTGCTTTATCAAGCATGAATATTTCAAATGCTGCATCAATAGATGAAAATAGGCAGTCCAGTATGCAAAAGGAAACTGATGATCATCAGAGGTTTCTCTTTGATTTGCAAGGTGGACAAAACAATATTAAACCACCTCTTATGCAATACTCTGACCCTGAACAATTAAATGGGTCTTCTGTTCGCCAATCAACCAAGAATTCATTTCCTGGTATTGCTAGAAAGTCTACCAGCCTTGCTGATTTTAATAATGCCATCTCAAGATCTACTCAGTATGTTGAAATGCAGAAGACTCCTCGTCAATCTAATAACTCATATATGAAGGGAACTTCTTCGAACGTTCGAAGTCCAGGAGGCTCTCCTGTTCACTATTCAAGAAACCCAGATGGTAGTGCCAATACTTCATTTACAACCTATGGGCTCAATGGATATTCAGTCAATTCATTACCTTCAATGATGTCCAATCATGTTGGTTCGAGTAATTTACCACCTTTGTTTGAAAGTGCAGCTGTGGCATCTGGACTTGGATCACCGGCTCTAGATGCTGTGGTTCTTGGAGGGGGTTTTTCTTCAGCATCAAATATGAGTGGATCAGCAGATTTGCAAACTCTTAATAAAATTGGGAGTCAAACTGCAGCTTCTGCTCTTCAGATGCCCCTTCTTGATCCACTTTATATTCAGTACTTAAATGCAGCACAAGCTGCAACTAATTATAATGATCCTTCGTTGGAGAGGGGCTTTATGGGCAATTCTTATGCAGATTCACTTGGCATCCAGAAAGCATATCTTGGTGCATTGCTTCAACAACAGAAACAGTTTGGAATGCCATTTCTTGGTAAGTCTAGCTATTATGGCAGTCCTTTTGGTCTTGGTATGTCGTATCAGGGAAGTCCTTTGGCAAGCCCTGTTCTCCCAGCTTCTCCTGTTGGATCTGGTAGCCCTTTGAGGCATGGTGAGCGCAATATGCATCTTCCTTCTGGCATGAGAAACCTGGTGGGTGGTGTCATGGGTTCTTGGCATTTAGATGGTGGTGGCAACATCCATGATGGCTTTGCATCCTCACTTTTGGAGGAGTTTAAGAACAACAAGACCAAGTGTTATGAGCTTTCTGATATTGCTGGTCATGTAGTTGAGTTCAGGTACATGATTTCTAGCTTTGAACCCAACGATGATACCTGTTATTGCTAGCATGCTTCAATGTTTCATTGTGATGGACCTAGCAGCTTAATACTGCACTTGTCCATATGCTGTATTCTTTGTGGTACATTGTGTCTGAATTAGTTGAACTTTAGATTGTTTTCCCATTATTATATTATAGATTAAAGACCATTATTTATGATGTGTTCCTTTAAAAGTTTTCATTGCTTTGACAGAATAGTGGACTTGTGAATTCAGAAGCCTCAAGTGCATAATTGTGTTGAAACACGCTTAATAAATCACTTGACATAGTTCCATTTTCAATGCTGTTCCCACCAAATTGAATTGTATCACTTTTATTTTTGAGGGCAACATATTTTCAGGTCATATGTTATTCAATAATTCACGGAGTTTCACGCTGGTGTCTGTAAAATGCAGATCTGCATTACCCTAGCTGGTATTTTGCTGTTAGTGCTCCTCATTAATAAGTGCTTCATTGATGTCTGCTGCAGTTTATGTTCCTATTTTACTATGATAATTTTTATAATGCTTTCTGTTATATTTTGTCTGGTGGTTACTATCTTCATTAATATGTGCTGTTCCCTGACTCTGCTCAGTTCGATCTTAAATGTCTTAGCTATTCTTTCGGTGACTTTGGGTTTTTATATTTCAGTGCTGACCAGTACGGGAGCAGATTCATACAACAGAAACTTGAAACTGCTTCAGCTAAAGAGAAGGACATGGTTTTTGATGAAATCATGCCCCATGCATTTTCTTTAATGACTGATGTGTTTGGAAATTATGTGGTCCAGAAGGTTTACTATTTTTACTGTCAAATAAACTTTAGGTTGCTGATTTAAAATTGTTTTTATGGCTCAAATCCTAACCATCTGAAACTTTGCTTATACATCAGTTTTTTGAACATGGATCTTCTGCTCAGAGAAGTGAGCTGGCAGATCAGCTTACAGGGCATGTATTGACTCTCAGTCTTCAGATGTATGGCTGTCGAGTTATTCAAAAGGTATATATTCTCCCTTATCAAATGCTTAACATTACCATTAATAACTTTTTAGAGACATTCTGATAGTTGCTGTATTTACAGCTTTAACTTAAGCTGATATTATATCAGTCTTGGCATGTACATCATAATTTTGTCATATAATGCAGCTATATTAGTATGATTCTGCATTTATAACTTTATTTTTGTCAACAATGGAGGCATTAAAAAGGATTATGTCATTTTTTACGGAAGCACAAGTTTTTATGTATTTATCTGGGCAATGCGAGGCATCACCTGAGCACCCTGCAGCTTTCAAGATGGCCTAATTCAGAAAGGGGAGTAGCGTGGTGGCTCTTTAGCAATATCTTTGCTCCAGCACCAAGCATTCATCAAACATCTTTTATACATGAGGCATTTTGCTCCAAAGTTACACCCTTTTTTATACTTTTGCTTCTTAATAGCATGTTAGTTGTATATTCTCTACTACAATATGTAAAGTTGTAAATCATTCATCATTTTTTATTCAACATTTTCTCTCGTTTTGTCATAGAAAAAACATCTTCAAAATTTTGATCCAAATCCTGCCATATGAAAGGGTACACATTACTATTTTCATTCTCTTCTTGGTACGCTTGTTCGTAGCTTTTTTTTTTTTCACATGTTTTTCTTGCTCTTTTCTAAAATAAACTATGTGAACTGTGCTGGTCTTAGTTTGATGATATTATGTTATATTAATCTAGTAATTTTATCTTTCTTATGGTTTGTGCATTTCTCATGGACCCTTTTTTTCATATTTCAGTGCAAAGGTATGAAATTGTTATTACACACACACACACACACATATATATATATATATATATAAACAAATGTCTTATCAGAGTAAGTGAGTGTTTCTCAGGTAATTTTGGGCCTTGGCATTTTAGTGGGAATTTTTTCCCTAATGATTTTGAGTAATTATGTGTAAATGATTGGCTTTTAGTTGGGGTATTCCTTTTTAGAGAAGTTGTTGACTTATCATTGCTATAAATCTCATTATCATGGGCACTATATTGATCAATTATAAGTTCTTGCAAGATAAAGAATCCTTATGAGCATTTGGCCTGCTAAAGTGCTTAAGTGACCTTGTCTCTATCTTTCCATTTTTACTGTTGATTTTGGTTGCCATGCCAGCTCATATTCCTAATTTTTGTGGCAATATAAACAAAATTGTTTTAATGCTTAAAATAAATGTTTGCATATTTTTTATACCTAGATAGAATTTCTGATAACGTTAGCATTTGGCAATATCATGAGTTTGCAATCAATTCTTATGATTTCATTTCAGTATTTTTTTTTGCCTTCTTTTGGGAAGATTCTAAACCGTCTTTTCAGAATTTTATTTGAACTTCTCAGCGACCTTTCATAATCAATTTTTGTCTGCGGTCCTGATTTGAATAACGTAGGAAAATTTCACCTGGTCTCTGTATAATGATTTATTCTTTTCAGATTAAAAGATAGTTGTGCTAGTCGATATCTTCTTTTATGAGCCAATTTTAACTCCATTTTCATTCTCATGCTTCAGGCAATAGAAGTTGTTGATTTGGATCAACAGACTAAAATGGTTAAAGAGCTCGATGGCCATATAATGAGATGTGTGCGTGATCAAAATGGGAACCACGTTATTCAAAAATGTATAGAGTGCATTCCACAAGATGCAATTCAGTTTATTGTTTCAACTTTTTATGATCAAGTGGTGACATTATCCACCCATCCATATGGTTGTCGTGTCATACAGGTCTCTTTTGCCTTTAAGATCTTTCATGTGCTGATGATGCATTTTTTCCATGTGTTGTTTTTGTTTTTGTGTTAGATATATTTCTTTGAACTTGTACAGAGAGTATTGGAGCACTGTGATGATCCTAAAACACAACAGATCATGATGGATGAGATTCTAGATAGTGTGTGCATGCTGGCGCAAGATCAGTATGGCAATTATGTTGTTCAGGTTTGTTTTATGTTTGGAATCCTCAAAGGTCCTCCCCTATCCACCCATCTCCATCCCCAAACAAGAAGAAAATATTATGTTCCATTCACAGCTAACCTTGCTTCGGATTTGCTATTTGCTACTTTTGAAAGGAAAATGGTGCCATGCTTTTTCTTGCTTGTGTGCTTGATTTGTCCTTGATTTGATAGTGTTGACTATTCTTCACCTAGAATATGACACGCATAGCTCTACTTGACCTGTTAAATCTCTTTTTCATTTTAACAGCATGTCCTGGAGCATGGCAAGCCTCATGAGCGGTCAGCTATAATTCAAAAGTTAGCTGGTCAAATAGTTCAAATGAGCCAACAGAAGTTTGCTTCAAATGTTGTTGAGAAGTGCTTAACCTTTGGTGGTCCAGAGGAACGACAGTTCTTGGTCAATGAGATGCTTGGTTCTACTGATGAAAATGAACCTCTCCAGGCATGTTATGTTGAAACTCAACTGAAAATATCCATTTTAATCGATTAATGCATCTTTCCTCAATCTTGATAAATGTAGTGCAATTTGTTACACTCTTGTCTCTGCTGCTTTATTCTGAGTGATATTTATAGTTTATTTTGATTTTTTTCTTATGGGTAATTGTTTGTGCTTATGAGAATCATGTTATTACATAATAATAATAACAATAATAATAATAATAATAATAATAATAATAATAATAATTCAGGTTGGGCTCGGCCTATAATAATAATTCAGGTTGCGCTCGGCCTAAGGAAAAGTACATTTCCAGGCTAACAGAGAAAATTTGACAGCTTTTTCTGGAGTGATTAATTTGCATAGAAGATCCAATTGCTATTTGTTGAAGAAAATGTCACCAATTTTTTACTATTTTTCATCCTTAGCCTTTCGCTTTTAGTTTGGCAAGCATGATTTTCTTTGCATTAGTTTTTAGGATTGTTCGAATTGTTGCCTTGTCCATGAAGTTTCCAACAAATTTGTGGTGTGATTGGTCTTTTTATAGATATCATACCAGAGATTGCTTCTTTTTCCATGCCTCATGTCATGGCCTTGGGCTTTGCTCCAAACTTTTGATGGTACCTCAAAGTATTAGTCTCCATCTTTTTTCTTCTCTTTGAAATTCATTGAAGACTTGTTCAAGTTTGAGAAGTGAATGAATTGGGATTCTTCCACCAACTTCATGTAAATCTTTATTGAGATCTGCAGGAAAATTATAGGTTATTATTTATCCACAAGTTTAATGTATTTATCATCACACTCTTTGCTTCAATTATTTAGTCCACATATGTCTAATTTTTGCTAAACTTTTGTGTGTGATGAAATATTTGATAATAATTCTTACTAGCTTGAAGTTATGAGTTTGATTTTGAAATTCACACAATTGAGTAGAATTTTTAAGACTTGAATATGCCACTTGACTTCCTCCTAAATTGCTTGTACGTTGTTTTGGACCATACATAGGGACCCAATGTGTTATTTCATAGAATTGATAAGCTTCGATATTACCAAGACGTTATAGGTATCCCACGATTCCCACCTTGGAAACTAAAGGATGACCGCTAGGGGTGTCAAAATGGGTCGATGGGTCGGGTTCAGGTCAAACCCGAGTTCAAACGGGTTGATCCTAACAGAACCCGGTTTTGCAAATGGGCCAAGATTGTCAACTTGGACCCCGACATGTGCGAGTTACCGGGTTGACCCGACTCGACCTGTGCTTGTTAGGGATCACACGCATTTGTGAGCGTGCTACAGGAGCAGGCGAATTGGCGAGGCTCTAACGTTGCGAAGCCAGCTGCGACAATGCGGGTCTGGTCGACTGGCCATCTGGGTCTCGCATGGATGGGTCGACGACACGGTGGCAGTGGCAGGCCATCAATGTTTTCGACTTTCCGGTTCGGTATTTTCGAACTCGACAAAATGTCAAACACTGTCACATGATGTCGACGACGAGACGAGGTTAAGTGCGATGTTCTCGGGTCAACCCGAGTTTGTTTTGAGTTTTTCGGGTCAACCCGAACCCGACTCGATTTTACAAACGGGTGAACCCGACCTGTTTCTCAAATGGGTTGACCCTAATTCATAATTTTTGGATCGGGTTCGGTCGAGTTTTCGGATCGTGTCAAATATTGACACCCCTAATGACCACATCAGGCTGTCAGATGTTATCAGGTGGTATTCAATATTTCATCTTCATTGGATCACCATTTTAATCAAGAGAGATCATTGGAATGATCGAATAAGTTCTTCTCATTTAGTTTGTAGGATGTGATTTCATGAGGTGAGTGCTTCATGGAGATTACCAGAAAGATTGGGCGGCTTTATAGGGTGGAAGAAGCCCTTTTTCTTATTCATCTTTGCTAGACTTGTTTAGGGCTCTGTTAGACCAGTTCAACTGGTTCATACGGGACTGACTCAACCAAACAAGAGGCGGAAGAGTTCGCCTCCTGTATGAGCCGCATGAGCCGCAAGTTCCACGGGAGCCAATTTATAAGAATTTTTTAGGGAGTTAGGAGGGAAATTTGCATGTAGGGACTGTTTAGAGATTTTTTTTGATTGTATGCATTAAATAGCTTGTTTTCCTAGGGATAGGGCATCTGGTATTTGGTTGAATTTTGAGATATCTTAGGTTTATGTTTTCTTTGGGCTCTAGCGGCATCTAGAGAATTTGGGAGAGATCAATTCTCCTCTCAAATTGAGGGTCAATTGTATCTTGTTATTGCTCATTTCTATTTCATCAAATAGTACAAAGTTTCTACAGTTTTTCTATTTTTGTGGAGAATTCTCGCTGTTTTTCGAAGATTGATAAGAAATACTTGAGATGTACAAGTGTTTCCTATCAAATTGATATCAGAGCAATTTCCAGGGCTGAATTAGAAGTCTTCCTCTTTTATTTCTGATGTGTTTTCCTCTCCGATCTTGTTGTTTTTGCTGTTTGGGTGGCCAGGTTCGTGTCAAGCTTGTTGATCTTTGCTATTGGAGCCTAAATCCAGGTTCCCATGATTGGAAGAAGGTATAAATATTGGAAGGGGAGATCAGACAAATGAAATATGAAATTTCTAATTTCCAAACTCAAGTTTCAGATATAAAAAAGGATATCTCCGCCATCAATGATAAGTTTGATTCGAAATTTTTCATCATGGAGGAGATTTTAAAGAAAGTGCTTGAGGGCCAAACCAAAATATTGTCGTCGGAGGTGAGGGAAGGCGTCGACAGCCAAGGAAGTGGGGAAAACCTTAAGCCAATCAGACGAATGGAAGATCAAGAGGTGAGGATTTTGGAGGGAACAGAAAAAATGCCTCCCTTAAGGCTTCCTAAGGAGGAGTCGGGTAAAGGGTATGTGGAGAGGCGTGAGGGGGTGGGGCATGGGTGTAGGAATATTGAATTTGAAAGAAGAGGGACTGGGTTTGAAAGACGAGAACTTGATTATGATCGAAGAGGTGTCGAATTTAAAAGGAGAGGGGTTGAATATGATCGAAGGAGTGCTGAATTTGAACAGAGAAGGTGGGCTTGTGGTGAAAGGTTTGGGTGCGAGCGGAGGAGAGATGATTGGTACGATTGGAGGGAACCACCCCTTTGGGGAAATAAATTTTGGAGGAAGCCGAGTCGACGGAGGAGATCTGAGAGTGAGGAAATTGAAGATGCATATTTTTGAGGGAGAAGATCCACATGGGTGGATCTACAGGGTGGAAAGATACTTTACTGTCAACAGACTGACGGAGGAATATAGGTTGATAGTAGCTGACCTATGTTTGGAAGGGAAGGCTTTGGCTTGGTACCAGTGGAGTGACATGTGACGACCCATATGAAGTTGGAGGAAGTTCAAAGATTGTTTAGTAAAACATTTTTGAACTGGCAGGGGAGGAGACTTCTACGAGCAGTTCTTCACCTTGACACAGAATGATTCAGTGAGGGAATACTAGGAGAGATTCGAGCATCTTACTAGCCGATTGGACTACCTTCCTGAGACAATGTTAGAGAGAAATTTCATGAAGTGATTGACACCAGAGATCCGGGTAGCAGTTTGAGTGATGAGGCCTTGCGATTTGGGAGAGGCTATGGAGCTAACTCAGTTGGTGGAGGATTAGAGACACCTGGAGAGAGACGAGAGGCAGCAGCTCAGGAGGTTCGTACAGGATGACCACCATATTATTGGTATCCAAGGAGCCAACACCAGATATTTTTCGGGGGACTTCGAAGGAAAAGACTGTCGGAGGAAGATCTGGGGATGACATCAAGAAGCTCACGGAACTGGAATTATAGGAGAGGAGGGCGAAAAGGCTCTGTTTCCGATATAACGAGAAGTATATTCCGGGGCACAAGTGTAAGGACCGAACTCTTCAGGTCTTTACTATTTGTGATGATGAGGGAATGGAGGAAGGTGTTATCTTTTCACCTTGCGGATAAAGTGGATCATTGAGAGGGGAGTATTGTTAGACCGGTCCAGCCGGTCCATACGTGACTGGCTCAATGAAATAAGAGGCAAAATAGTCCACCTCCTGTATGACCAATTTGGAAGAATTTTTTAGGGAGTTAGGAGCGAAATTTGAATGTAGGGATTGTTTAGAGATTTCCTTTTTGATTATATGCATTAAATAGTTTGTTTTCCTAGGGTTAGGGCATCTGGAATTTGGCTGAAATTTGAGATCTTTTAGGTTTAGGTTTCCTTTGGGCTCTAGCGGCATCTAGAGAATTTGGGGGAGATAGATTCTCCTCTCGAATTGAGGATCAACTATATCTTGCTATTTCCCGTTTCTATTTCATCAAATAATATAAATTATCTACTGTTTTCCTTTTTTTGTGTGGATTTTTGTGGAGAATTCTTGCTGCTTTTTGAAGATTGATAAGAAATAATTGAGATCTACACGTGTTTAGGCTCTTTTATAGCTGTCGTTCATAACTTTGACATAACCCAGATCTGATGCCAGGAAATGAAAGCAGGAGATAATAAGAGAAAAAGAGTGGTAGAGTTTTCCATTATTTTATTGGTTGAAATCTAGCACAATAGAGAAGAAATAAATAGATTTTATCAATAAAGGAAATTTTATTAATACAATAGATTTTTGATGTAAAAACTGCTAAATATAGATCCCTTCATAAGATTGTTCGAAATCTGCTGCCTATCATAAAAGCCCAAACCCCAGTGTCAAGGGAGAAAATAGTGTAGGAAATGTCGTATAGGGATGCCCACTTGCTATGTTGCTCAATCCTACAATTGGGGGAACCTACATTGTAGGAATTGCCAAGTTTGCTTGCCACCCAATGTGCATGCTAGCAAAAAATTTCCTACATTGTAGGAATTGCCAAGTTTGCTTGCCACCCAATGTGCATGCTAGCAAAAAAATTCCTACATTGTAGGAATTGCCAAGTTTGCTTGCCATCCAATGTGCATGCTAGCAAAAAATTTCCTACAATTGAGGGGACCAACATTTTAGGAATTGTCATCTGGGGAAGTTTGCTTGTCAGCCTATGCCCATGCTAGCAAAATCTTTTTTTGGTGCTACTCTAAATATAGTAGATGATAAAAACCTTCGTTGTTACTTGGGACAAAAGGACATATTTCTATATATATATATAACCTTTACTTGTTTTTTTTTCTTTGTTGTTTTTAGAGATTTTAGATCATTTTTTTGGCAAGAGATTGTTGTACTTGGATTTGGCGAAGGATGGTGATTTTTCTTATTTTATGCACCAATAGTTGCTTGTATATTAATGTATCATATTATCTGTCCTATCTGTGGTTGTTTGCAAATATTTATCAAATCATAGAAATTTGTTGTCCATTTTGTAATATTTAATCTCTTTGTGATTTACCTTGTGTTTCATAATATTTACTCATGATTAACATGTCCGCATAAAAGATTCATTGCAATACATTATTTTATTTTACCTGATGGCTTAGACATTTTTTTTTTTAGAACCTCATCATCCTTGAACCCATTTATATACAATTTCAACATACCACTAAGTGCTAAGATCAATATTTTAAATGACATGATCTAAAATAAAGCTTAAGAACATGTGTAGTTTCTTTTAACTATCCTTTTTCTCTTTAAATTATCTTATTTCTCAAGTGATTACTATTACTTTTCAGGATAGAAGAGCTCAAGTGATTGTTCTAAGTATACAATTTGAAATTTTTTTGCAACCAAAGCTCATGGTTATAAATGATTTAAGCTAAGATAAGCATACTTGTCAATTTCAAGATCTATGAAGAACTAATATAAATCTTGCTTAATCCTATATTCCATGCACAAAGAAATATCATATCCTTTCAGCACAAATCGAGTTGCTGTGCTTGAGATCCTGTTTGTGAACTGTCAAAATATCTAAATATAGAAAGACAAGAAGATGCAGAGTCTTCCCGCTTAGTTTTTGTTTTATAGTTTATCAAGTCTTTATATTAGTACATGCATTCCTTTTCTAGCACAGATATATATATCCACATCACATGCTTCATCTTTGTTTTGTTGTTTTTTTAGGCCATGATGAAAGATCAATTTGCAAACTATGTTGTTCAGAAAGTGTTGGAGACCTGTGATGATCAGCAACGGGAACTGATCCTTTCGCGTATTAAGGTCCATCTGAATGCGCTGAAAAAATACACTTATGGGAAGCACATAGTTGCACGTGTAGAGAAGCTGGTTGCGGCCGGAGGTATGCCATCTGCAAATACTCCTAATGGAATAATCTGCAAATACTATAGTTCTCTATAATAAATTTCTCAAAACAACCAACACTAAAGTCTAGTTATCTCATTCTCTTTTGAGGGGTTAAATTACGTTCTACTAATTCACATTTTAGTGCATTATCAGCCCAATCTGCCTTCTGTGTCCTAATACTTTGATTATGTTAATTGCAGAGAGGAGGATTGGACTTCAGCCATCTTACACGTAAAGGTTTAAGGAAGTTGTACAGCTAACTGAGGCTTAGTTTGAGCTCCCTCTTTCGTCTTTCTGTTTAGGCTGTTGCAATTTGATTGCAAATAAATTACTTGTCTGTACTTAAAACTGTAAATTTCTGTAGTTTGAGGTTATATTATAGTAGATCTTAAGGAAAGCTGAGGTCGAGACTATCTTAGCAGAGATATGTGTACAAGTTGTTTGTTTGTGGATGTAAAGATGAGTTGCAGGAAGAAGAATGTAGTAGAGAGAAAAATGTCTAGAGTGACTGTAAAAATGCCGCCATGTGGAGAGAAGTTGAGTTTAGGCGAGGCTGGAATTTTCCTTTTTAACTTTGGCTTTTATTTATTTCATAGACAGTTCTCTTCTTCTTTAGAATGTTCTGTAATGCTATATTCTATTTCTTCATCTTCTGATGCTGCAGTTTCTATTTTCAGCCATAACATTATTGGTTTCATCTCAATACAAATATATATGTTATTATGTATGTAACTATGCCATAAATATAGCCGCATATATGATTTAAAAAAAGCATCAAGAATGTTGATCATCTATTGGATGCATTAAAGATTTTTCACTGGGCGTGTTACTGTAGTATCATGTAGGAGGTGTTAATTATGATTTTATCTAATACAATATAAAAAATGAAACCAAACAAGTATTGCTTCAGAGTAAACTGAACAAATGTTTCATAGCAGAAAAAATATGAAAATTTATTTTATTTTTCTAGTTTTAAAACTGGCTTTGATTTCATGCATATTTGTATGATTATAATAACCATCTTCATACCGACTGTTAAATCTTCTCAATGGTCGACGAAATGCAGAACATACTCTTCTCTCATAATCTTCGAAAATAGTTATCTCACAGAATTGCAAAGGGCGAAACATTCCAGCCCTTAGAGCAAAATTAAAACAGAACTTAAAATACATGATAATTCCAAATACACTCAATTAGATTATCAATACGAAATCTCAATGCTCTTGTTTTTATAAAATTTCAAAATAAGGAGGGGAGGTAACATATGTGGAATCTCAGTTGAAAATCATGACGGTATCAAAGCTACACAAAGCTCAATCCAGTCTGGTCCAGCTGGAGCATGCTAAAATTTTTCGTCTCAGAGGACAAAGCTTGACGGGAGGATATCGTCTCAATTAGGAGAGATTATTCTGTGCAGTGTTCGAATACATCCGGAGATCAATTTGGATGCGTCATATCATTATCCAATGCATTGCGCATTGGATGACGTGACGTGCCCGAATTGCCCGAATTGATCTTTGGATGCATCCCAACACCACGCAGAACAATTTTTCCTCAATTAGAGATTATTTTGTTCTTTGTGACACTCCACAAGATATTAATAAAACTAAAGCCGCAACATCTCTATAAGGAAAGGAAGTCATTTTAAGTACTCAATAAGATAAAATCCTCAATAATAATGAATATAGGTATGAGTACTTAAAGATATTTTTATACATTATATATTTTTAATTTATATAAATATAATTATTAAAAATATTTAGCTTATATTCTATCTAAAATTGTTAAATTTAAATTATAAATATCTATTAAAAATAAAAATAACGTTTTTTAAATAATAAATATATGCCTTACACTAACAAAAATTTCACGCTCCTCATTAGTACAAAACAAGCAAAAATACTAAGGCGATAAGCTTCCTAACCATCTTCGATTCTTCTTCTATCTATGCAAATTCCAAACCCTCCGCTTCTTCCTTGCTATTCCACATCCTCTCCTTCTCTTACCTTTCCTCACCGTTTCTTTAACCCTACTCAGCTGCCACCTCCGCCACTTCACGCTCCTTCCTCTCTTCTCTCCCTTCGCCGCGATGGGCTTTTCTCCTCAAAAGGGAGAGGCGTTGCCCGTTTGAGAGCGAGTGCGAGAGAATCTCCTTACGAGGTGTTGGGCGTGCCCTCCTCAGTCACTCCGGAGGAGATAAAAAAGGCTTACAGGAGACTCGCCCTAAAATACCACCCGGACGTTAACAAGGAGGTGAGTTACTTTATTTCTTTAGGAGCTTCTCTCTGTTTTTTTTTTTTTTTTTCTTTTTATCTGCTGTTGGTTTCTGTTTTTGTCTCTTTGGTAAAAATTTGATCTTTTTCATAGCTGGGTGAAATATATTCTTGAATGTTGATTTTGAAACAGCCAAATGCGCAAGAGAAGTTCATGCGGATCAAGCATGCGTATAATACCTTGTTAGGATCAGGAACTCATTCAAAGTTTGGTTATTCTGCAAATAAATCGAAAAATCAAAGAAGCCAGCAGGCTTCACAGGAAGAAGAGTTTTATGGCCTAGGTATGGGATTTAGTATATTGTTATCTGATTTCCCAAATATTATGGCTACTTCGCCGTTCGCCCTTTTTTTTTAATATATATTGTATCGAATGCTAAAAAGTTTGAAGATTAGTGAATGATGGACATGAAGCATGAAGATTGTATGGAGATACAGGATATTGGCTATTATGTCACATTGATGCGCCAAAGTTATGAAAAACTTGACCAGGCGTAATAAAACATATTTTTCTATAAATTATGAAAGGCATGGACAGAATACATGCAGAAGTTCATTCCATAGTCGAGAATAGATTCTTGGACCTTGACAATGGCTTCTAATATCTCTACAAACTAGACTAGTTGACATGCACAAGTGAAATTATTCATATATAGCTTGCTTATTTGGGAATCTACTCGTCGTATATGTACTACTTTTGATCATTGGTTGTCTTGTCTCCGGTATGTTTTATGCGCCAAAAAAGTATTGGAAGTGAGATAGCCACCCTAGGTTGTACTGCACATAACAAACGAAAAGTAGGGTTAGTTTTCTTTGAGGGTCTTATCCTTTGGGTAGCTTAGGTTTGATCTTAAGTGAGATCTCCCCGATAAATCTTAGACTATATTTTATGGTGTCGTGATTTTATGCCCAACAAATTGAGAATGAATGATCTCATATTTTATATACTTCCACAATTGTCTATTTAGGTACAACTATATTGTTACAGAGTTTTCTTGAGAGCTGATATGTGCTGCATTGTAGAACAGGCCTTATGTGCATTTGAAAATTATAGACTAAAGGCACTTTGCTTTTAGAATATCCCATTTACATCATGAATATTCACTTAAATTCTATATAATTGTTTGGCTGGATCATGAGGGGGATCTCCTAGATGATCCACTTACATCTCGAATCTCATGCTAAGTTCTAAAGTGGGGTGATTCTATTTTACAAAGAATTAAGCATGAATGGAATACTTTATATCCTCACTTCTATAAACTTGAATTATGGTTTATTTAGGTACAACTAAAAGACTTTTCTAGAGAGTTGAGGTATAATTAGGATGCATGCATGTTATAATGATAAAACATTATTATGGGCATTTGAAAATTATGGTTATTCCTCAGTTGGATGACTTAGGCCCTTTACTTTCTAAATATACTATTTACTTGATAAATATTACTTTTTAAATAATATCTTTTTGCTTGTTGAATATTGTCTTAGAATGTAAAGATTGTTTGGCTGGTTCTCGAGGGGGATCTCCCCTTTGATTCACCTACATTTTGAATGTCAGACTAAATTTTAAATTGGAGTTGTTTTATGAAAGAAGTGAGGAATCAAGTAATTTATGGCTTCATATATGTAGTCTTGAACTATAGTTTATTTAGTTACAACAATACAGCTAAAAGAGTTTGCTAGAGAGCCGGGTTGTACATTCAATATGTAGACCATGTTGTCTTTGTAAAACATGCTCTATGGGCATTTTCAAATTATGCATGTTTTTTCACTTACCTGACTTAAGACACTTTTTCAATTAAAAATTTTCTTCTATTATATTCTTCTGACCAAGGTTTTAAAAGTCGAAATAGGGAATCGAGGCGTTTTTTCTAAGCGAGGCGAGGCGTAAGCCTCGAGGCGTAAGCCTCAAAATGATTAAAATAAATCAATTTAAAATTATAAATAATTACAAAAAATAACAAAATATTATGTCAACTATGAATTTGAAGATTTGTTTTAAGATAATATTACTGGAATACAAGATTTAAAATAAACTCACTTAAAAAAATAAACACTTAGGATAGAAAGCAGGCTCATCATAATTTTGATTATCATTCAGAAGATCTTCATAATTAATGTCAAAGTCATCTCCAACTCTTCTTCATCTATAATATTTTTCTTTATCTCCTATATAAGTTAATATTTCTTAGTCTAAATGAAACAATAGTAACATACAAAATAATTCATTATATTTAAGAATACATTTAAATTTTTTTGAAGCTCAATCTCACTTTAATTTCTTCTTAATATCTTGGGTAGTTGCTTATTGTCTTCTTCATTGGACACGACTTCTCCTTCTGCTTCAATTCAGATACATACACATTCTTAGGAGTAATCCATTCATCATCAGATTGTAGCTCACATCAACAAGCATTTACCCGCATTCGGTACCGAGCGGGTACCGGTGTGAGCGTACAGGCATGTCACGGCTTCGGTGACCGGGTATGTACCGGTCAGTACCGAGCATGTACTTGCTCGTATCGGCATGTCACAGTCGGTGGTCGGCAGTACCTAGTAGTACCGAGCATGTACTGAGTGTTACGGCTTGTATCTGCTCGATACCGAGCATGTTAGCTGAGGGACGAATGAAAGAAAGCCAATCAGGAGTTATTCAAGCTTTCGTTACTGCACGTCAAAGTCAAGGCCACAACAGAGCGTACTGCTCTTCGACCTAACGGATGCTGAACGTTTCCTGATCTCAAACCTCGGCTTCGTTTCTTTCCCTGCATCGTCTCTTCCAACTTGTCTCCTACACTCACGGCTTCGCATCTATTCGCCTTTCAATTCTCACAGGAAGCCCTAATCCTATACGCGAATACACGAACACAAATCGGCTGCGTCGTATTTACATATATACCGAAGAAAAAATTTCGAGGCAGTGCCTCATACTGCCTCGAGGCGTTACGCTCTAATGCGTACGCCTCGTGCGAAAAAATCGTAGGCTTCGCTGGATGGTTCGAGGCGTAAGCCTCGATACGCATGACTTCCGCCTCGACTTGAGGCGCGACTCAATGCGAACGCCTCGTCCGCTTTTTTAATGGATGCTTCTGACAAAGGAAATTCAACTGTCTAATGATTATTAGAGGACTGCTTTTCCTTGTACTCCTCTTCTTACCTAGTTGAGTTGAACAAATGCTCTCCTCTTCGCAAGCTTTATTTCCTTGTGCAATGCAAGAGAGCTAAGTTAGTTTGTATTGGTAATCCTTTAGTTATTCCTTATATCTTAAAAATTGGAGATGAAGGCGAGGTATTTTATCTGCCATTGGGATGTGGCATGATCTCAGAGGCATGGAGTGCTAGCTCTGGTAATTTTATATTTTAACATTTCGTAAAAGTGGGTCAATGAGGGAGTAATGAGCTAGTGGAGTGTTGTTTGAATCAGTTTAGGCTTTTATTTTATATTTCTACTTAATAGATTTAGAGAAAAACTTTAATTTAAGTAGGTTTTTCTGATAATTAAATTTAAGTTTTTCTAAATTTTAAAATGGTCGATTACCCTTTATACGAGAGTGTAAAGGTGTGCCCCAAACCATCCGACTTGACGCCTCAACCGAAAACCTCCCCTTGTTGCCTCATGGAAAATTTGGCCTGCCCCTCTCTAGTCTGAGCTTCATGTAGCCATAAAATGACTTCTAAAAACAATGGTCATTCCTCTTTACATCCCATTTGGTTGATGAATTAGCTTAAATTCTATGCCGTGGTTCTCTATCTCTCTCTCTTTATCCTTTTTAACCCACCAATCCTAGGCCGTTATGATTGCCATGGCCTGAATTCAATCCATTATTTCATCTTAATTCACTATCTATTGTGGTGTGGTAACTTGATTACCCAACATCTTTCTTATATAATGTTTATTCTCTTTATCACATTCACCTTTTTACTTCAGCAACGAACTTATATCTTGTGCATTCTTTGAGATAAATAGTTCTCTTCTTACCTTGGTTGCTCACAACTCTAGCTATTCCCCAAAGGTGATGTGGTGGAACCGCTAATGGAGATATGATCTTGGCCATGTTTGGTTTATTCGATTAAACTTTACTAAGAGTAATGGTTGATTGAGTAAATTGACTTGGGGAAGTTTTTCCTTATCTTCTCTTTGCCCAGCCTCCTAAAGTAATGGTTGTCACTCCCATTATCTCTCCAGTTTAATCATCTTACATATTATCCTTCTTAGTTGGGTCATATATCTATCCTTTTAACATTCTCATTTCTTAAATCCATGTAGACACAACCAAACATATATTCACACATAGTAATAAGTAATTGTTTCATAAGACTTATTTCATCTCTACCAAATATCGTGTCTAAATTTGAAACCTGCGGCTATATGTTTGGAAATCTTTTTGTGATGTATCATTTGTCCGATATATTTCCTCATTATTTTCAAATTGAACATTAAATTAAGTACATTTGACATGGCACCTCTAGGGATCATAACATTCAAGTTTCCAGAAAGTATTCCAATGTAGGCATGCAAAAGAAGAAGAAAAAGATGTAACCATAGTCCTACATATACACTTCCTTTTTTTTTTGCCAGAGTCCATAGAATGATATTTATTATGGCATACATGATAATTGAACCAAAACCCATACACAAATTTGCTACAACTTAAGACCGAAAATGATAGGTATTTGGGAAAAAATTGGTTGAGGATTTCCTGACCAAAGTTTGATCTTGATGAGTCTCCATGGTGTTGGATTTTCTTTGAGATAAGTGTAATATAAATTTTAATTGAATATTTATGTATTGCACTCATTTGAAAACAAATGTAATGGTTTTGAGTCTTTTTTTTTGTGAGTAGTAGGGTCCTGGGTTAGGTATATCATATGATGCAATGTCTCATTTTCCTAAATATGAAAAATGTAACTATTCTTTATAAAATTCTTAACTTGATGAATCATTTAGTGTATCTGATATAGAAACAAACACCTTCGAAAGGGGAAAGAGAGATGCTGTTTGGTTATCTTCGACCAGTTCGCCATATTGATCTTTCCAAGCTTCAGAAACATATTTAATGTGAATTTGAGTCGTGATTCAGAAAAATCCATGTTGTATAGACCAAATGCGGACAAACTCTGTTAATTCATTCTTGTTGCTTTTAATTAGCTGTTAAGTTGTTAGGACTTGGATAATGGATTAATTACAGATCCTTATACTGCATATTTAATTCTGCAGGTGAATTTCTGAGAGAAGTTCAAATAACAATAGGTAGATTTGTCTGTGTTGGAGTGTCTGCCAGCTAATTGTTATTTATGTAGTTTTGTTTGATCTTGAAACTTTTCTTAGAAGAACCTTTTTCTTCTTGATGAATAACCTAAATTTTATTTAATGCAGCGGACTTCTTCAGAGATTTGCAAGTAGAATTTCAGAATTGGGAAGCCGGCATAAACTCAGAAGAGAAACCTAAAAGTTTATGGGAGGAGTTGGCAGTAAGTTTTATCCTGTTGCTATTAGACCTATAAAAAAAGCCAGTTGTTAGTGTTCGCATTGATAATTAGTTTATATTTAGGCTTCATTTGGAATGGCTTTCTTACTGCTTTTTAAAGTATTGTTTTAGTATAACTGAAAAGTTATTCTAAGAAACTTTCTTTAATTTATTTTCTTACAAATTTATTTATTTAGGAGCCAGATACAAGCATAAATTTGTTTAGGGTTCATCTCTCTCTCTCTCTCTCTCATTTTCATATATTTTTGTATATGTTTATGTTTGTGTGCGCATAGATATATAGATTCTGTAAATAAATATTTGTAGATGTTTATGTTTGTTTAGATAAATGCATATGAATGTGACAATATGCATTCTTTATAATTTATGTAAGCCTTTCAACTAAATTTTATGTTATGAACAACTCATTTTTCGCTCGATAAGCAAACAGTACAAATACACAAAATTTTTTTGTTCGTTTATTTAACAAGGCGAACAACAGTTTGATCTTGATCAATCTCTGCTCATTTACACTGCTAGTTGCTACAGTCTAGTTCCTTATGAAGAGCTAATTTATTTCAAATACGATTGGATCATTAATCACATGATCTTCCAAATTGAATCATGTTCTTTCATTCTGCACATTTTGAATGTAATTTATTTAACAGGACATTGGTGAGGAGTTTGTTGAGTTCTTGGAGAAGGAACTTAATATTTATGATTCTGGCACTGAAGCTGAGGAAAACCATTTCAGTGAAAACTCAAAAAATGAGTTCAAAGCTAAAGGAAACAAGGAAACTAGCATTGAAGACAACATTGATGAAATAGAAGCTGCTCTTGCTCAACTGAAAAAGAACTTGGGATTATAAAAGATTTCTTCAGAGTTCTTGCCGACATGTATTCTTCACTAATTATTCTCGGTAAATACTCCATGTCATTGCCGAACTTGTTATTTAAGAAAGGCCATATGAAGGTCTAATATCTATTGTATTCTTACATTTGTTCAGTCTAAAGTTATTGTATTTTCTGTAAGTTATTATTTGAATCTCAATCAAATTAATGCTTCGGTGTGGGACGGTTTTCTTACTGTTTTTTAAATCAGTTTTTTTAGTATAAAAATTAAAATTTTTATTTTAAGAAACAGCAAAAAAATAATTTGCCCAAGTCTTTTTGATATGGCGAAGTGAATAAAGAGTAGAAGGATAAACCTTGTGCACATCTGAAGAACTGAAAACAAGAAATCTTGAATAGTTATCTTGTACAATTGTATTGAAAAACTAAGCTTTTTTCCACCCATATTTTAAATCAAATACTAAAAGCATAACCGACTCTGCCATAAGTCCAGAAGATTACTGGAACTAGAATATGAAAGCTCTGAAAAGATGAGCATATAGCAATGGCAGCATCGTATCACACTGAGCACGACAAAATAGCTATGTCAATTCTGCCTATCGTATGAAGAACCTGACTCCGAGATCAATTCAGTTAATTAGCATCATCCGGAGGATGGTACTCATAAATGCCCCTAATAGTAGTAATATAAGCATATTTGCGAGGCTTTTATTTGTTGAGGCTATCTAAATTTATATATGTCTGACGTAATTATCTTAAACACTCCGTGAAGCTAGACAATTTCTTGAAAGAACAAATTGGCAATGTTAACAGCATTGGCCATCTTCGAAAATTATCCACCACAACAAATGAACTCTTGGCAACAGGTTATTCTCTCTTCCCTTGTGGACTAGCACATGCGTGATTTTGACATGGTTTGCCTAGAAGGCATGGCTTGCATCAATTTTTAAAACATCACATACAATCTCATCTTGATAGAATTTGTTGATGAAAAAAAAAAAAATTTTTTTTTTTGGGACATTTAGCCCATTTAAAGTAAACTCATACACACAAACGTATACACAAAGACTCGAACCCAAAGCCTCTTTGTTGCTTTCAACCAACAAGACAATGTGAGCTGTGTTTGATGAAAAATAGGACATGACAAACTGTATTGACTTGTGTTTCACTCAACCTTCTCTTTTTAGTCAATATTTTTTTTTCTATTCAAGTTTGACAAAGGTCCTTGGTTTATTAATTGGTGACCTTTTATATTAAAAATTGGACTGTAGAATTTAAGCTTTTTAAAGAAGAATTCAAAAAATTGGCCTCATTGTTAATAGTCTAAAACTAGAAACTAAAAAATTCCTAATAAAATTTACTTTTCTCTCATTTTTTATCCCCTCACAGAGAAACATGTTTGTTTGAATTTTTTTTTAGAGTAAGCATATAAATCTCTACTACCTTTAATTTATTAGATTTCATCACCTTCACTATCAAAAGTAAATATATTCTTCAACTTATTTTCTATGAATGGAAGCCTAATCCTTGCAATGCACGTGGTCCATTTTCTCAAGCTGCCTTTAGCTACCCTAAATCCTCCACCCATCAAGCCTACGACAATCTCTTCCCTTGTTAATATAATTTACTCTTTGTGCTTCCCCCTCCTATGCAGGAGATGTTTGCAATGAATTTGATGTTTTTTGATGTTTTTGAGACATTGACTTCAAAAAATAATTCATCAATATTAGAGGTTCTCTCATTAGATTAATTTTAAAATATATTTCATCAGAGAAAAAAAAATGAATATATATAACAAATTTGTTTAAAATACTGCAAAAAAGGATTGGTGAAATTTTATTTAAACCCTAGGCTCTTTATTGTCGGAATCACTTAGGGGTGTTTGACAACAAGTAAGATTTAGTAAATCTTATAAATTCGGATTTATTAAATCCTGCTAAAGCTAAATCCTGAAAACTATTTGACAAGATAAGTATTACATCCTATTAAATCCTCAAGAACAACTTAACAATAAAATTCAGGATTTAAGGCGCATAGTTTTTTAAAATTTTAATTTAATTTCCATTTAATTTTAATTTGCATTTAAGTACAAATTACTTATTAGTAATAACTTTAAGGGAGATTTACATGCATACCACTTTATACTACTCTATTTACATATTTAACACCTAAAACTTTAATATTACATGCATACCACCCATAGTTAAATTTCATATCAAATATGGGTGGTATAAATGAAATATATTAAGTGGTAGGAAGGAAACATGAGTGATATATTTGATATTAAAATAATATAAGGTGGTATGTATGTAATATTAAAATTTTAGGTGTTAGATATGTAAATAGAATGTTATAAAGTGGTATGTATGTAAAATTCCCTAACTTTAATTGATGTCAATAAATTACAATTATTAAAATAATATAATTAGAAAAAAGTAATTATGAAATAACTTTATTAATTTTAATTTTGATTATATTTTTTATTATTTATGAATTATTAATTTTACTAACTAACCATTATAAATAATACGATTATAAATTAAGTTAATTATCAATTAATTAATTGTTAATTTTATTATATTCTTAATTAATTTTAATTAACCTAATTAAACTATATTAATTTATTCCTATATTCTTAATTAGAAAAGAATACCGGTTCAGGCTTGCTTGGGTTTGCTTTTCCCCTTCTCCGGCTGTTCTGACTTCGCCTGCTTCGCAACCAGTCGCTAAATAACTTGTTCGCCTCCTTCGACGACGTTCCGTCCTTTCGGATCCGAAGTCACACCTCCGCCGTTCTTCTGTTGGATCGGAAGTAACGACGACGACGGGAACTTGATCCTTGCGAAGGTAGCCATCTTTCTTCCTTTCGCGTGCTGGCCTAATCCCGTAAATCCGCCGAACTCCGGGATTTATCGGCAAAAAGAGGGAAACGTAGGATTTAATTCGCTGTGAGATTTAACAGTTCTAAATTTTCGCTCTTACATTCGATCCTCTCACCGCCGCTGCCGCCTCTCTGTCTCTCTCTCGGTCCCACGTCAGCTTCCCCGTCCGGTGAAATAACTCAGCACAAGTTGGAGAACGATTTATTTTCTGTTTTCATCGTCTTCAGTCACCTAAAAGGTTTTGGTTTTATTCTTTCCCTTACTGGTTCTTTGATTGGGAAAGCGAGCATGTAAAGGAGCAAGATTGTGCTTCTTCAGTGCACTTAAGCGTTGGGTATGTTCCATCTGATCCTTTATTTTCATCTTCTTCTGTCGGGCAAAATTTGTTTATTTTTTCTATTTTAGTTATAAGATGATTTTTCCTAGCCCAATCCCAATGAAGTTAAGAAGGGCGCGGAATCAGAAATTTTTCTTTGTGGGGAAGAAACTAATGATATTAAGTATCTCTCCATATCAATTTTTAATTAATAAGTTATAAGTTCGAAGAAGAAAACTTGAGTGTTTGCACTTTGCACAATGCACACGGTTAAATCTAAACTAAAAATCAAATTTTAATTGACTGAATTCAGCAATAAATATTTTCTTGGGAAGCAGATCAAGTGTAGCCTTGTATATTGTGATTTTAACCCTATAGGCGTGCTAGAGGGTTAATTTGGTGGTAAGATTATTTTTAGAAAACCTAAATTTTAAGCATTGTGAGCCAGGTTAGTGGGGGCATGAGCCTTCACTGCCCCATGGTAGCTTCGCCTTTGGAAGTTAACATGTCTAGCTTGTCTGGTTGTTTTAACAATCCATCGTGCTTGGATCATTTTAGGGGTTATATATATATATATACACCTTTTCATGCATACACTTTGATGTTATTTAGACATTAAGGTGTTATATAAATAAATATAAAGATTTATGTAATAGAATATAAATGCATAGAAATTCAATGGTATGCATGCAAATCTCCCGTAAATTTATCCCCGACATTAATCCTCTTCACCCAAAATGCTACTTCACTCAAATCAAGCCTACCTATCCTAGTGAGGTGAAGTTTAGTTGTTAAGTATCAAATCAAAGGTTAAAAGTCCATATGTGTTGTCTCTAGTAAAACCTATTAAAAGCTTGTAGCCAACCCAATCTTTTATCTTTTGGGAGTCATACTTCGATTCATCAATCCAGCCTCATCTCAAAATCAAAAGATTGCGTAAACATAAAATGTGTTATCTAAACCTGAATTGGCAAAACCTTCATTGACCAAAACTTGTCACGCGTGACCTATTTATTATATGGTTCATACATTTGTTTTGATATCAGAACCAATGTTTAAAATTACGTAATCGGGTATTGAGACATTTTTCGTTCGTGAGACGAGGTGTAAGCCTCAAGGCGTTTTTAGGCGTAAGCCTCAAAATCAAAAGATTGTATAAACATAAAATGATAAATTTTTTAGATACTAACGAGTAATAACAAGAAGCAGATTAACACTAACAACTATTACTAAAGATGATGAATACAACAACATGCCGGGCAGCCAGGGTCCAAGGGGGTGTTGCCATTTGGCGGGGTTCGACCTAGCGGTACCGAGCATGGTAAGTCGTTTGTATGGAAAGATACCAAGCGATATCGAGCATGGACCTAGCGGTATCGGCATCGTCGTACCGAGTGGTACCGAACGTTTTTTTTTTTAATTTTAATTTTAAGAGGCGGGCGCCTCTAAAACATGAGGCGAGGTGCCCCTCAGTGAACTTGAGGCATACGCCTCAATGCCAACTCTCATTGCGTAGGCTTTGAGGCTTAAAAGTTTAAAATTGTGTTGAGGCGCGCCTGCCTCTTATTGCGCAATTTTAAACCATGATCAAAACAACTAAGTTAACCTGAATATTACCCATTGAGGAAAATGAGGGTTGCCAATTAGTCAATGTTTTATACCCAACCAAAAATTAAATGAGTTATTTTTTAAGTTGATTTATGATTTTTTGTGTCAACTCGAATCCAACCTGAATGTTAGATGAGTTGATATTTTAGACTCGAACCCAACCTACATATTATTTGGGTGAACTTAACTTATATTTTTTGAGTTGGGTATGTATTGAGTCATTTATTGACACATCTAGTGTGGTAGCTATAAGAAAGTCAATTGTTTGATTTTTTCAAAAAAACAAAATCCTTATGATACTCACCAACAGTTTAAAAAAATTGTTTTCCTCATAACTATATAACCATTTTTATAAAAAGTTAAGAGCTGTCATTGTTTGTGGCAGTTTAAGTTTTTTTTTCTATTTTTGCTTTTTAAAGCTTCTTTCTCCGCCAAAATTTCAAAGATGCTTTTCCTAAAATAGCTTTTTGAAGGCAAATGTTTGAAATGACGATGAATAAGCTATCTTCCAAACACATAATATGTTTTACTAACTGTTTTTCTTACAACGAAAGCAATCAAAATGCTATTCTAACAAAGCCTAAGTTGATCGTAGTCGAATGAGAATGTTAAGATGGATTTGTGACAAAATAAAAAAGAAGAAATTAATGATTGATTATATTAGCACAATAATAGGAGTGCCATCTTTTAAAGATTTGATAATTGAAAATCGACATGGTCTTTTAGACTAGTAGAAAATGCACCTATTAAATGAAATGTAGATAAAAGTAATGCAATAGGATCAGGAAGAAGTGGTAGACCCAAAGTAATATGGATTGGTATTGTTAAAAATGATTTGTGAAGAATAAGTTTAACACCTCATGCTACTCTAAATAAGAATGAAGGGAGAATGAGGATTTATTAAGTTGTCCTTAAATAGTTGAGATGAGGCTAATGATGACAATGATGAATGCTACAATTTGCAGTCTGAAGTTTATAATTTAAAATTTTACCCTGAAACTGCATGAATTATTATTACACTTGTTTCAAAAAATAGTCTTTCATGGCATGGAGCGTAGATAGTCATGCATCCAGATGTGTGCGGAAGGATTTAAGCGAACTTCCTTACCTGCATTTTTCATTTTTTTCGATATCTACCTTCTTGCTAGGTTTATGGTTCAAGCAATGCTGCAAAATGTGGTCAGAGCTGCTTCAAGAGCTACAACCAAGACTAAAAAACCAAAATTTGCTGTTTTGGCTGCGATCAGCTGCAGGAGCAATGATATGGCTGCTTTGGAGGCAAAGTTCTATGGAACCATTGGTGTGGATGAGCCGCACTCCAAGCTAGTTGCTCATCAGATGATTCAGTATGCTCTTGGGCATGCTAGGTCTCATAAATCAGGCATGTTTGGATTTAAAAATAATTCTTTTTTATCCTTGTTTTTTTATTTTCCTGATTTCGTATGAATAAGATTTAAGATTTTATCTCTGTGTTGTTTTTCTGCAGGAGATTCATATACAGAATCCTTGATGGTGCTAGAGCAAGGGATTTCCAACTTACGTGGAAGCGATTCCACAGAGGATGCATTGGGCATGCTCATGCTTGCAATATCTACTTTGCTTTATGAAAGGTTGTTTTCCCTTTCATTTCTGCGCTTAGGTTTTTGTATCTAATTTTTTTCCTTTTCATTTTTCCTTTATATAGTATGTATTATGGAACAAATTTATTTGTTTGTTACGCTCGAATACTGAAGTACTTTTAGGTGCAGTACTATAGGAATCTAAAATCTACTTAGTGTGGATGCAGAGGCGAGCTTCAAGATTCCATCGAAAAGCTTCAGATGGTTCATGAGTTGGGCAGTGCATCTCTTGACGTTAAAGGTAACGATAGCATACCTCTTAATAATTTCACATGTTCTGCTTTCAACACTCCATGTCTTCTTCTAGTATGCCTTTTTTATGTAGGGTTGCAATATGTGTTGGGGTTTGGGTTCAATTCGGCCTAAAGAAGTTTGAACCTAATTAAAGATTGGTTTAGTGAATAGGTCAAAAACTAAGACTTGAAGCTAACTTTACTTGGTGCCACCCTAACACAACCTTACCTGAAACAATAGAAATATGGGTCATCTCGGGTCAATATGAACTCCGCCTATAGAAAGAGAGGGTGCACAATGCTAGAGATAGAGAGAGAGAGAGAGAGGAAGCAATGAACAAGGAAGGTGTGAAACAATGACAACAATTTGATCTAGCCAAAAATGAATGGTTATGCTTGCTCTATTGCTTGTTGCCCTTGCCCTACCTCCTCGTACTTGGGTGGCTTGGGCATGAAGATGATTTCTTGTAGCTCCGAAGAAATGTTATGTGACTTTGTATCTACTTAGTTGTGGCATTTTTCTTCTGAGAAACCACCCACCAATGGTAGGGTATTGTTTCGCACAGGCCACGAAGGGTGGGAGCCTTTCGCCCAGTTCAGCAGAACCAGGCCCAGCTAAAAGGAGGAAAGGGGGGTTTGGCTCCCCCTTATGGGGCCCAATAATGCTTTAATTCAATATCAAAGGTGGAGAAATAGAGAGAGATATTTAAGAAGGTTTTAATTAAAATTGGGGGGAAATTAATTAGGGAAATATATCCAAATTGAATTCAAATTAGAGAGGGAATCTTGTAAGGAAAGTAGCCTGATCTAGGAGAGAATTAGGGAAGCCTATTTAGGGTTGACTATGGGGTGATTTTAGTTTTATGCTTGTGTTTGTTGAAATTAGGGTTTCTTAGGTTGTGCGGGTTCTAGTTGGTGGCTAGGGATTTGGGAGAGCCGGTTCTTTCTTTCCAATTGAAGATCCAATTGTAACATGTGTTTTTCTTCATAAATATTCCAATAAAAAAATGTTTTGTTGTGTTCTTCTTCATAGTTTCTTGTGTTTATCTTTTGGTTTTGCTGAAAATGATTTCAGGCTTTCAGCCAAGGTTCTACCAATTTCTGCATCCACTTACTATCATATTGAAGATAAGTCGTCAAAAGAGATTATGCAAGGACTTGTAGGGGAAGGGTAGATGCGGAAGTCTTAGGGGGTTGGGAATGAAATTTACCCCACAAATGGGGAAAAATTTGAGGGGAGGGGATCAACAACAACAACAACAACATCAAGCCTTTATCCCACTACGTGGGGTGGGGTCGGCTACATGAATCCTTTTTCTCCATTGTGTCATATTAAAAATCAAATTCTCGTTTAAATCTAATAAAGAAAGGTCATTCCTAATATATTCTAACCAAGTCTTTTTAGGTCTACCCCTACCTTTCTTAACAGAAGTCAAATCTAATACCTCCACTCTCCTAACCGGGTCATCGGAAGGCTGCCTTTTTATGTGAAAAGAGGGGAGGGGATAGAACAAAAAAAAAAGATTTGTTATGTCACTATTTAAAAGAGCAAATTAACTTTCAGTTGTTTTGACCCCAAACTAGAATTTTTGGGTTTAGCTGTTATGTGAGCTGGATGTTGGCGCCTTTTTTTTATTTTTTAATTTTTTTTTATTTTTTAATTTTTATTTCCTGGATGTTGGCACCTTTGTCGTGAATATATTCAGGGAATTAGGCTCCCGCCAATGCAAGATCTAGGAAGGGATTGATGGGCTCAGTTTTACTTCGTGTTAATATGAAGGTGACTCTAAGCTGTGATACATGTTGTCCTTTTGTTCATGTCAAAATCTCAGTCATCCATTGGCATTTGATCCCACGGTCAGGATGAGAATCCGTGGGAGGCACACTTGGATCACGCCAATATCCTTCTATATTTGGGTAGCTGAATTAGGAAGGATTATATTGAGGCAATTATGTATCAATTAGAAGTTATTTATTTCTTTATTAAGACATCTTGTATAGATCTATAAATAGGGATAATTTTGTATAATAAGTAGAAGGTATTTTTACCATTCTCCAATTCTATGAATTGTAACAGTTCATACCCTAATTTTCATAATAATGCCAAGGATAATGTGACCTCGTGAAACTTACGTCGAACTTTGGTATTTAATAGCTTTTCAAAACTCGTCCTAAGAGTAATGCAAGGACTTTTGATGAAAAGTGCTCCCATTTTTTATGACTAATATATATATATATATAAAGAGAAAAATAGTTTTCCTAGGACATGATTGGCTCTTTTTAAAAGAATGCTCTAAAATTTATTTATTCTCCTTAAACTGATGTCCAGTTGCAGCATGGGAGGCTCTGATAGGGCTAAAACTTGAGGCAGGACAGGTTTGTCACACCGCATGCATCTTCTGTGTTGCTTTATTGTTTTGAACATTTATTTAAAAGATTGTTTCCCTAGGATGTCTCTTCGTTGGTCCTCGCAAATGATTGCTTCCAATTGTTGAATAGTAGCGCCGTAGGCAATGGATCTGTGTTGGGGGTTCTGAAGTCACGGGCTAAAGCTAACAAAGGACTAACTCATCTTGTTCTTGGAGAACTTAAATCAGGTTTATATTCTTGTTCTAGTGACCCTATTTTGATGCCAATTAATTTGATTCGGATCAATGAAGCTAATTTAAACTGAGTAGTAAGTCTAGCTCTTTTCATCAGCGGAAGCACTCTTTGGTAGTGGCGAAGGAGATTTTGAGGACGGTACAGATCAAATAGGTAATTCGTACTTTTTTATACTTCTCATTACTTTCCAAATTATTTATAACGGAAAAACGTCAATTCTTTTATTCTTTTTCAGGAAATATCGCCCTCAGTCATGGGGAATTTTCACATGCTACAGGGAAATTTTCATTGGCAAAGGATTTATATGAAAAGGTGATACTTGCTAAAACAGAAAATGTTTCAGATAATTCTTGTTTGGCATCTTCAAACATGATATCTGAGGAAGTTCTTTTGGGAGCTACTTGTGCACTAGGTCAGCTTCTGTCACATTCAGGGTAAGCTCTTGTTACTTAATTCTCATTATCACACATTATCCACTTCATTAGGTGGCAACAGAACGTAGCTGCTAATTGGGTGAACTTATATTAAATTCTTGTCTTCTTATATGCTGATTTATTTATTTATTTTTATTTTCTATTCTTTTTTTTTTTCTCTGAGTATTTAAAATAGATTTAGGTTATTTCCGAGCATGTCTCTATGATCATGGTTTGATGGCAGCATTTTTCATTCAGGAAGTTTGATGAGGCAGAGGAGCTCTTGACAAAGGCACTTACCCAGGCTGAAAGCCATTTTGGTATTTGTTTCACAGCTTTTATATTTTTTATTCATAACCCTGTTTACTACTAGGGTATTAGCTAAGCTAATAGATCAACGAGGTCACATGAAATTCTCTATTTGGTCCAGGTTCAAGTCATCCTAAGGTTGGGGTTATACTGACTTGTATAGCTTTGATGTATAAACACAAATCAAAGTTGGAGGCTTCAAGTGCTATATTGATACAGGAGGTTGGATTGAATTTCTGTATTTTGTTCAAGAATTTTAAACATCCTTAATGTTATGTTTTTGCTAGGTTACATGGAATAAAATAATCAATCTTTATATGACTCAGAATAATATGCTCATAAGATCATAGAGAAACTACACTTGCAAAATGGTGAATTTTTAAACATATTTCGTAAGGTTTATAAGAAAGCAATCAACAATGAAAATATTTTAGCTTTTAATGATTTATATAATAGATTATATTCTAAAAAGCGCAAATGATATATGTATAAGTTAGCCAAACAAAAAGATAGGAGTAGCAAGGATTTAGTTCAAGTGAAGTGCATCAAGGATGAAGATCAAAAAGTATTTTTTTAGAAGATGATATTCAAAAAAAGATGGATGAGTTATTTTGCTAAGCTTTTCAATGAAGATTGTGAGAATACGAATTACTTTAGTGACCTTTGCACTCTAAATGAAAATAAAAATTTCTATTTTTTTCAGTGTATTAGTAAAACTGAAGCAAGAGAGACTTTAAAGAAAATGATGTGGAAAAACTATTGGATCTGATAATATTCTAATAGAGGTGTGAAAATGCTTAGGAGATAGAGTTTTTTGGCTTACTAAACTTTTTATTATTATTTTGAAGACTAAAAAGATGCAAGATTAGTGGAGAATGAGTGTGTTGATTCTTATTTTTAAGAATAAATGTGATGCACAAGATTGTGTGAATTATAGAGGAATTAAGTTGATGTGTCATACTTTAAAACTTTGGGAGAGAGTTATGGAGCATATGTTACGACGTGATACTAATGCTCTCAAAATCAATTTGGATTCATGTTGGGTAGGTCTACTATGAAAGCTATTCATTTATTGAGAGGGTTGATGGAGAAGTTTAGAGAGAATAAGGAGAATCTATATATGATATTTATTGATTTAGAGAAAGTATATGATAAAGTTCCAAGAGAAGTGCTATGGAGCGTTTTAGAAAAGAAATGGGTTAATAGTGCTTATATTCAGGTCATTAGGGATATGTATGCTGGAGCTTTTACTTGTGTTCAAACCCAAGGTGGTTTGACCAAATATTTTCGCATTTTAGTTGGATTACATCAAGGATTAGCCTTAAGCCCTTATCTTTTTTCTTTAGTCATGGATGTTCTTACTAGACACTTGCAAGAGGATGTATCCTGGTGTATGCTTTTTGCTGATGCTATTCTTCTTGTTGATAAGACGAGAGAGGGACTTGAAGGTAAACTCGAATTATGGAAGTCAACTTTAGAGTCTAAATGTTTTCGTTCGAGTAGATCTAAAACTAAATACATGGAGCATAATTTTAATAGTAATAGATATAGTGGGGGGTTTGTGACTTTGAGCGATCAAGTCATTAATAAGTCTACTCATTTTAGATATCTTGGGACTATTGTTTAGAGTGATGGTGAAATAGATGGGGATATTATTAGTAGATTTCAAGTTGGATGGTTGAAGTAGATGAATGCTTTGGGTTTGTTATGTGATAGAAAAGTACCACTCAAACTTAAGGGAAAATTTATAAGATGGTGGTGAGACCTGTAATGTTTTATGGTGTAGAATGTTGGCTATTAATAGAGAAGCATAATCTTAAGTTAAGTGTTGCTGAGATGAGTATGCTCAGGTGGATGAGTGGATTTACTCTTAGAGATAGGATACGAAATGAGCATATCCGTGAAAGGGTCGGAGTAGCTCCAGTTACAGATAAGATTAGAGAAAGTCGCCTTAAATGGTTTGGTCATGTAAAATGGCGGCTTTCTGATGATCCTGTTAGGAGAGTAGATGTATTAGATTTAACTTATGTTAAGAAAGATAAAGATAAACCTAAAAGTACTTGATTAGAAAATATTAGAAATGACATTTCGTTATTAGATCAATTTAAATGAGAATTTGACTCTTTACCGGAAACAATGAAGAAAAAAGATTCATGGAGCCGATCCCACGTAGTGGGATAAAGGGTTGATGTTGTTTTTGTTGTTGTTGTTGTATAGTGCACTGAGATTTTTCATTGCTTGTAAAGTTTGGATGATGAATTGCTATTTCCGATGACTTACAGCTCTCTTAAAATTTCAAATGCCAGGGATTGTACAGGAGGGCTTTAGATTTGCTGAAAGCTCCTCCTTTGGATAGCCAAGGTGATTCAACATACATATATTATATATTCTATTTCATAAGGTTGAAAAAACTGTTAATATGGTTGCTCTCTGCAGATTCTGACAATGAGCTTGGAAAACAGGACGTTATAGCACTTGCAAGAGGTACATTTTTAGCATCCCTTTTTTGTATTTATACAACCTCAAAGAGGGGTACACTTATAAGAATATCCTTTGCATCCAAGTTGAATCGGACTAAAAAAAGTAATTTATGTTGACTCGAACTCAAATTGCACAAGTTTGGCTCAGCTTGAAATGAATTAATTTTAAGGCAACGAGACAAATTTCTAAACGCATAGTTTGCATGATATTATTTTCACTTGTATTTGAAATTCTTTTAAGAAAAAAAAAATGGTGTGTGAATAAAACTGATTTAAATTGATTTTGATTAGACTCAAATTAGAGTGAGCTTTAAATTTAAACTAAAATTATATAATCCTTCATCTAAGAAAATTAGATATAAATAGGGCTTCACAAAAAACTAATGAGTTTTTTAGAAGTCCATTAGGCTCGTTTGGGATAGCTTTCTTATTGCTTATTAACCCTAAATCCTAAAACCTTAAGCTCGCATATTATTATAAGTTGCTGGGTTAGAATTAAATGATGATAACATTATGGACTAAGAAAATCTCTACATGATTGTTTATTAAGGTGGGTATGCAGAAATCCTCTGCATTCAACAGAAGAGGAAAGGAGAAGGTGAAAGGACGAGGAAATGGGCAGAGGCTATATGGAGGAATCGCCGCATGTCTCTGGCAGAAGCATTAGAGATCTCTCAACCTTTTAAGTCTCCTGTTGTTGATAGCCGTATATGCAGAGTTCTTTAGTTGCATCCATCCTTTACTGTAAGCTTATTGAAGATACGATGATGCCCGGTGGGAATTTACCGTCATGTATAAACTACAAAAACAAGCAAATCTTATAGCGAACGATAATATAACAGTTGGCTCAGATTGATCGGTTCAATTTCAAGGAAAGCAAAACAATATGATTACATTCAGTTAAAGAGTAGTGATAGTTAAGTAGTGTAGCAATGTTCCACGTTTCCAATCATTAAACACTTTCATAAAAATATTAGGTACAGGATTCTGTACAGAAGATGTTATTCAATTACATGTTTCTCTCACTTCAAGATCTTATATTCAATTTCCTCCAAACTTAAACCTTTTGTTTCTGGAACTTTAAAGAGGATAAAGACAAGTGAGAGCAACGCAACAACACCAAAAAGCAGGAAGAGGTTTTCTGGTCCCAAACGTTCCTGCACCATTTTGATACATCGATGCAGAATAAGCACAAATTTAATTACTACAAACAAAATGCGTTATAGATGGAAAAACATAATAGACTAATTGCTTCGTCCTGTTAAACGTACTGTAAAGTGAAAAAAAAAAAGCCTTTACTTTTGAAAGAAAGGCAAAAATAAAAAACCTTTATAATCCATGCTAATATCTATCGCGTCACATGAATGAAAAATGGCACAGGATGCCTTTGTGATAAGGTCTCAATGTTGCAAGTCATATCTCATGTATTCTTTATGTAAGAGATTACTTGTGTTTCTTTTTTTATGGGTGTGTACTTGAAAATTAGGAATAAAAAAAAGGATACATCAAAATATTGACTTATTGGTTAGTGGATTGAGTTCTCTCGCATCTCTCATGAACATAGGCTTGGTTGAAGCTGAATCATATAAATTTTATGGTCACTTTATGGTTAATTTTCTTTTGTAAGTTGAAGCTGGTGTGAATCATAAAACATGATTCAATAAAAATCAAGTTTGTTGACTCATAAGTAAAGAAGCCAAAACCTGAAGGCTTTAAATCCGATGAACTACAAACTTTGACATAAAAAGTAAATTTTTATATCTTTATTATTGTGCTATATAATTTGACAACTTTGACAATATGAAATATATCAAAAACTAACGTAAGAAAACTCTCTCATTTGGTTCATCAAAACTTGAAGTTTGTGGAATAGTAAGTGACTAAACCTCTATGCTATGAACTTGCTATTTACGACATACTCCACTTGGCAAAACATGACCTCTTTTAAGGTGTTGTACGAGAGAGAACCATCACATTTAGTATATTTTGGGTAGAGTCGCACACCGATATCTTCACTAGAGCAATATTAGGAGGTAAGGGATAGGGTGCTGGAGGAGTTAAAAAGATACCTGCAGAGGACTTAACAAATTATGAAGAAGCAAGTAGATGGACATATGAAGGACATCCAATTTGCCATTGGGGATAAGGTGTTCTTAAAGTTGTGATCCTACAGACAAAGAACAATAGCCAACAGAAGAAATGAAAAGCTAGCGCCGAGGTACTTAGGCTCATATGAGGTGTTGGAGAGTATTAGAGCAGTGGCGTATCACTTGAAGTTACCCCTGACTACTTCCATACACCCAGTGTTCCACATATCACATTTGAGGAGAGCTGTGGGGCATAATGCAGCTAGTTTAGAGTTATCAAGAATACTGACACAAGATCTGGAGGTGGTTTTGGAATCACTTGAGCTTAAAGCGGTTCGTCAGGGAGAGGGTTAGTCCAATAAAGTGTTGATCAAATGGAAGAAATTACCTGACTATGAGGTCACTTGGGAACCATACGTGAGCATGAAGTATTAGTTTCCCTCCTTCCACCTTGAGGACAAGGTGACTCTTTGGGAGGGGACTATTGATAGACCGGCCCAAAAATGATCAGTTCTCTATTACTAGAGGCGGAACAAGCAGGTTCTGCCCCCCATGCCTGCTTCCCCTTCTATGTGGGATCCACTAGCTTAATTAAGAGAAAATTAAGGGGGGTTTAGGAGATAAATTCAAATAGAAGGGGGTTTTTGAGATTTACCTAAGGATTGTATGCTTAAGGATGTTTTCAGGGGTAGGGTTGGAGGGATCTTGTTTTTTTTTGCAGTTTGCTATTTGTGTGGGCTCCAACGACATCTAGAGATTTGGGAGAGCCGGATCTTCCTCTCCAATTGAAGATCCAACTGTATCTTGCTATCTTCTTCCTTCAATTTGAGTTTTGGTAGTTTTGATGTGTTTCTCTTTCTCAAATTATTGTGCCGTTTACTGGTTTTTGCTGAGATTGCATCCAATTCCTTGCGAGGAAGTGTTAACAACATGCTGCATTGAACAAAACAGAACACCATCATCAACGAAATCTCACAGCTCACAACATGAATCAGCCATCCATCTAAAACATCAATTCTAATCTCCACCATTCATCTCTAACAACCTCCGTACTATTGCAACATACTTGCAATAGCTAAGTGTATAAGAATGTGCACTGTATGCATTATAAGTGATATCGAAATAATAAGGGAAGCTTCTTCTTATTTTTTTCTTCTACCTCCTATACTTCTTTACTACAGAATCTCTACAACATATTGTTTATCTGATGCTGATAACATTGCTGCATAACGAAAAAATACAATAGTGTGCTATACCAAATGGAAGTTTGAATACTACAGTTAACCCAAATTATTAAAAGACGGATGACGCCAAGATAGTGACATAATTTTAACAGTGAGATTCTGAAGCTACTTCTTTTGAAAAATCCAGTGTATATGCATGTACTAAGACACCACAGCAAAGGACAAAGACAACATCTAGGGCACATGATCGGTCTTGTACAAACAATAGAAAAAAATATATATAAGAGATGAGTCTCAAAATTATTAGATTGGCTTAAAATTAAGTGCAATATAAGAGGTATCAATCAAAATTTATATTGCACTCATCTCAAATCTAATAATTTTGAGACTTACTCACAAAATTTGGTCAGATATCCTGAGTCATTTTTTTCAAGGAAAAACTGCTCTCATATGCATCAGTATTATAATTCTATGCATAACTAGGAAAATAAACAGTATTCTATTCTTGGCTCTAATAATCCAAACAAGCTTTAACTGGAAAGACAAGATGTAAATCATTGCCAAAAAAACAGGGGTAAAATGAGGTAATGATAAGTCTCTATAACTGATAAATAAACCAGTTTACCTTCAAAGGCGAGAAGGCAAATGTTACTAAAGCATTAGAGCCAAAATTAACCAAAACTGCAAGACTAATTCCTCGTCCTCTTGTTTTCAGTGGAAAGATCTCTGAAACCATTAACCAACTTATTGGACCGAACGATACCTGGTAATCATATAAGAAAAGCAGTAGTAAGCTTTTGCAATAGACTGTCAATTTTGCAAATTAATGCATCTCATGCAACTTAATAATCCATCAGGGCAAAAAAATTACAACAAAAAAATTAAGTGTTATGTGCATGGTTTATAATATTGTTCCGAGTGCATGCTTGAGGCCCGCCTAGAACTAATGCTCACAAGGAATGCCTTGAGATTTGAACCTCAATTTCACTAGTGAGGCTTATGCATTTTTTGATTATATATTATTATTAATATATATCATATTCTATTATATATTTATCAGCTAATAGATTACACACACTAAGGCTAAGGTTTGTCTCTCCGCAAGAATGCACGCTAGGGTTTTGAGCAGATCTGGAATGAGGTAATGAACGAGAAAATCTAGAATGAGTGAGAGGTTGTGTGTCTTCTCGTATGTCTTGTCTTCTTCTCCATGCAATGCCTTGCTCTTCTTCTTCATTGTAGAGCCCCTTTCTCTCTACACCTAAATGCACCGTTCTTTGCGCCCTTGACACTTTCTAAATTTTGAGGTACAAAACATCCATTTTTTGGTGCATCATTCGTTTTACGCTCTCCTTGTTAATAGTTGCAATTGATATTTTTTTAGAAGCTTTTATGTGTTAGTTTTATTTGCCCAAATTTATTTCTTTGATGATGGAATTATTAATGGGTGTCAATCCTTAAATTCTTATCAACGGATATTTAGGTAATTAGTTCAGGTGCTATTAAGGTCTAAGAGAATGTGATTCTCTTTTCTCATCCTTATTATAAAATGGGGATGTTTTGCACTAGATGTTTAAAGTTGTTTTAAAGTTGTGTTTAAGGATAGTTAGATTTAAGAATAATTAAAATCCTTCAGAGTATTTTATTTCTTTTTGATGATGCAATGGCCTTAGAAATAAAAAGTTTTTAAATGTTCTATGATCTACTTAGAAGGATCTTTATTTGAGTGATTTACTATTAACTTCATTATTTTTTTATTGAATGGTGTAACTATTAATTTCTTTGTTTATTAAAATGAGTGGTAGCAAAAGAAAAAATTATCTAACTTGAAAATATGACACTCAAGTTGAAATGCAAGAGAAAGGGCAAAAAAGAGGAATATTACTTAAAATGAATTTTTTGTGACAAGTGGTTTAATGGGGATGTAAAGAAACTTAAAGATTAGTTCATTTGCACATATGTAAATATTCGAGAATGTAAGAAAGTGCCAGATGAAGTAAAAAAGGAATGTGTTAATGTGGGCTTTGAAAATTCACACCCCAGCCTCTCCGCTCATCTTTTATTGATGGGGAGAGTTTTAAGGAGTTTAGATTCCTAGATAGATTTTTAGAAGACAAATTAGATTTTAAATAAAACATTAACCATAGATTTTGCCCTCATTTTGTTACGACTTTATGATTAGTTCTTATTTTTCATAGGCACAAGTATATAGTTAATTACCCCTCTTGATAATAAGAGAAATCTTTTGAATTTGATTTTAGATTTTAGAGTTTATGCTTTGAAATTTATCACAATATACTTAAAGCAAGTTATGAGGGGATGATGATGGGATGATGATGGGTCTGATCAAGATCTCGTGGTTCTTTCATCCCGCTGTTATGATCTCTGGCCTATTTACTCAAAGAAGTTAGTCAACCCAACTTAACAGAAAGAATCTTGTTGGCAATCATGAGTTGTTTCATCCAAGAATACATTGTAGACCTCGAAATGAACATCCTCATCTCTGCAACACTTAGTTGTATGCTTCTCTTTTAATGGACAACATTCTGCACCATAAAACATTATAGGTCTCACCACAATCTTATAGAATTTTCCCTCAATTTTGACAGGTAATTTTCTATCACACAATAGGCCCAATGCATTCCTTCACTTCAATCATCCAAATTGAATTCTACTAATAATATTATCATCTATTCACTATCACTCTGGACAATAGACTCGAGATATCTAAAATGTGTACTCTTATTAATGACTTGATCGCCTAAAGTCACAATGCCCCTATTAAATCTATTACTACTAAAATTACACTCTATGTATTTGGTTTTGAATATACTCGCACGAAAACCTTTAGATTCTAAGGTTGACCTTCATAATTCAAGTTTATCTTCTACTCTCTCTCTAGTCGTATCAACAAGAAGAATATCATCAACAAAAAATTATACACCAAAATACATCCTCCTATAAATGCCAAGTAAGAACATCCCTAAAGCAAAAAGATATGAGCTTAAACCTGATCTTTGATGTAATTCAACTGAAATAGGAAAATACTTGGTCCAACCTCCTTATCTTTGAACACAAGTAACAACTCCTGCATGCATATCCTTAATGACTTGCGTATAAGTATTATTAACCACTTTTGTTCTAAAACTCTGAATAACACTTCTCTTGGAACTTTATCATAAGCTTTATCTAAATCAATAAATATCATAGGTAGATCCTCCTTATTCTCCCTATACTTCCATAATAGACCTGCCTGACATGAATCCAAATTGATTTTGAGAAACATTAGTATCACATCATAACATATGCTTAATAACTCTCTCCCAAAGATTTAAAGTATGACACATTAACTTAATTCCTCTATAATTCGCATAATCTTGTGCATCACCTTATTCTTAAAAATAAGAATCAACACACCTATTCTCTACTCATCTGACATCTTTTTAGTTTTCAAAATAATATTAAAAATTTTCATAAGCCAAGAAATATCTTCATCGCCTAAATATTTTCACACCTCTATTGGAATATCATCAAGTTCAATAGCTTTTCCACACTTCATTTTCTTTAAACCCTCTCTCATTTCTATTTTACTAATATGCTGATAAAAACAAAAATCTTTATTTCCATTTAAAATGCTAAGATTACTAAAGTAAATTGTATTCTCATAAATTTCATCGAAAAGCTTATCAAAATATCTCATCCAACATTATTAAATATCATCTTCTAATAAAAGAACTTTTTTATCTTCATCCTTAATGCACTTCACTTAAACTAAAACTCTACTTCTCTTATCTCTTTATTTGGCTAACTTATACATACATCTTTCATCCTTTTTAGTATCTAATCTATTATATAAATCATTAAAAGTTAAATTTTGTGCATCATATATTACTTTTATAAACTACTTATGAGTCTTTTTACATCTTTCTCAATTTTTTGAGTTTTTACATTTAAACTAATTTTTATGTCAAGATTCTTATTTTTTATCTTTTCTTACACATTTTAATTCTACTACAAACTATTTTTACTATTAAGATATTTTCCTTTTGATACTCCAAGCATATCATTTGAAACATTCTTAATATTATTAGTTATTTTTTTCTCACATAATATTAGCTTCCTCATATACAATTAGAATCATAAGATCTTAAATCTTACTCTAAAATTCTTTTTATTAGTATTATTTAAACGTTCTCATATCCTAGGACAAATTTTAATTTTAATTTTCATATTATGCTCCTTTATCTTAAAGTGCAAAACTAATAAACAATATGGTTACATAAACTTTCACTCAAAAAAACTTACGATATTTGTAATATAAACGATCTATTTTTCTTATAAAAATAATAATATTTGAGTTTTATTATATCCATTTTTAAAAGTGATTAGAAACACTTTTTTTCTTAAATAAGGTGTTAATAATTATAAAATCATATGCTTGAGGAAAATCTAATTGTTGCAATAAAGGAGCCCAAACTTATATTTTAATGATTATAAATATTATTGGATGACTATTTAGTTCATCCTTCTCTTTATTTTTCATATATTATTTTTGTATATGCTAACATTTCAATTTCAACATACACCAAAAAAATAAATAATAAAAAAAGTTCAACTTACACCAAGCATCATTAGAGAATCAAGGCTCAAAATTGAGTTATATAGGTTAAACTAGTTTGAGTCTGTAATTTTATTTTTCTTGTGTCAATATTTATAAAAAGGTGTGTATTAGCTTAGCAATCGTGCACATAAATGGAGGGTGAAAATAAATATTTTAATTTTTCTAAAGATCGTATTGGAAAGATCTGGATCATACTATACGATTTGTGCACTCATAAATCAATTAAAAATGTTTAATTAATTGAGAATTAAATTGAAAAAAAATTTAACTAATCATATTGTACGATCACCACATCGTACAAGGCGATCATACATTTTAAGTAGGGCTGTCAAAAACGTGTTTCAAGTCGGGTTCGGGTCGAGCCCAAATATGACTTGGCACTTTTTAAACCGACACGAACCTGGCCCGTTTTTGTAAACATGTCAATTTTTTGGACCCGAATCCGACCCGCTTTTATTTTTTACTAACATATTTTTATTTAATTTGATTTATTTAAACCTAAATCGAATTAAGGTATGATTTATTTACTTCAATTAATTTAAAATAAACCAAGCTTATTCAATTTGGGTAACATGATTTATTATTTTTTTGAAATAACATTTACTTATTTCATAACAATCTTCTAAAATCCTCCTCCTATATCAATTAAAAACGGGTCAAATCGAATTGATTTCGGTTTTTCGGGTCAATCAAACTCGACCCGGCTTTACAAATGGGTCGAAATCCCTAACCTGAACCCGACTCGGTTTGAGTTCAGGTTGACCTGAACCCAAAATTTTTGGATCGGGTTTTTGGATCGTGTCAAATATTGACACCCCTAATTTTAAGAAACACCGCCGTTAATTAAATTAGACAATAATTTCATTTTTTTTAATTTTGTTCTATTCATGCTATATAAACAAAATCATACTATACGATATTTTAAAATATTGTCTAATTTAATTTATGTGATTAATCAATCGAATCTGGATTAATTAAGGTTTTGATCATACTGTACAAACTTAATCGTATTGAATGATCGACAGAGATGATATTTATCATCCCAGGGTTCGTCCTATACGAATTGTGATTCGATTGAAATAATTGTATTGTACTATTATTAATTCGTACAATATGATCAGTAAAGAAATTGAATTGATCGT